AAGGCATCTCAATTTTATTAAGCCCTTTGTGAACCTTCTATCATCTAGGCCTCTTTTTGTATGGCCCATGCATCTATTTACTGTCTCCAGCTTCTGTACTGCGCTCATTTTATCTGGGTTCTTCGCCATCGTAGTTATTGTGAAAATAGTTTTCTCACTCTCACTATTCTGTTGAGTTTGCATTTGCAAAATGTTAACCAGGAACATTTATCCTGTCGAGCTTTGCGTTGTAAAGTCAGTCCTATGTATACAGTATAAGCTTCATCCTGCAAAAGAAAATACTTAAATTGTGAGGAAACTCAAAAAAGTCTTCTAATCTCGACCCAAAATTTTGAATGAAAAAATTGATTTGGATGTTGTTGACATTGGTCAAATTTGGTATATTTACTTTCGTATGTATACTTCTGAATGGTATCATCACGATTTTTTATCCTAATAGATCATTTCCGTATCTATTGTATAGGGAACATAGGAACCATTTTCGATACTCTTTATGATGATTTTTATTGTTTGACGTAATTCTAACATAAGCATATTAAAGTCGGAGGGATATTTAAAAAAGAATATGTCTAATGTCATGTTGATTATACAACGATAGTTTAGGGATAAATTGTCTGTGGTAGTGTGAATAACCCTTGTTTTCTTGACGATTTAAAAATGTAACGAGTGTCTTGAAATCAATTTAATCCGAAATATTATTGGGTTGAAAGGTAGTATTTCTATTAAATATTCGTTCTATAAATGTTCCTCCAACTAACGAAGTATTATCATAGATGAATGTATTTTAGATCTTTGACTAGGTTTTAAAAGCTATTTTTATTAGTATCAATACTGTTCAGAATTCGCGAGTGTTTACATCATAAGACATCCAACGTTCAATGATCAAACATTTATTTAATCGTCCAATTGAACTTTCATTGAAGGAGAAATGACAGTTTTGTAAAAATATCGGAAGTAGGTACCATTGAACTCTTCAAATGGACCAATTCTTTTATTTCATAGAAAATGGATTCGTGTGGCGAGGTCATGAGATGTTTTAATTTGATGTGAGTCATAGATGATGTCTCTTCTCTGCTTGAAAAATCTTGAGAAATTTAAATATTTGAAATTCCGCCATCGTGTTCTTTAACTGTTGGATCATCCGTATCTTATATTTGAATAGACGCAGATGAATTATGTGATTTGTTGATAAGGTTCATTTGATTAGAACCGATCATTTGGATCATACGTTCATTCCATCGGGACTTTCATTGCATCATTCCGAACCGTTATTTCTTCAAATCTTTCTTCGAATTTGTTTCTTTGCTCTTCCAATTCATCATCAAGGGTGGATGATTCGATGGCTGTGACCATTTGAGTTGTGGTTTCCGTTCGATTCGGACGGTCGGCGTCGTTGGCCATTTGAATTTTACTTTCTGGGCATTATTTTATTCAATTTATTACTATTTAAAACTAATGTTATCGTCGTAGATAATTATACTAAGTAAAGATAGTAATATTAATTAACTATAATAAAGTCGCTAATTCTTTAGAATAGATATGGTAGGGATGAATATCTTAATACTAATGAAAATATGACTTGATTTAAGTTTAAATGATAGGCCATTAACATAATGATGGTGTATTCTAAATTTTGCAGCCTACCAAATCTAGTCGATGTGACCATATAAATATTTAGAATATCACTTGTTGAGTATTTTATCAATGCAGATACGTTGAAAATCTCTCAAGATCATGCCCCAACGCAAAGTAAACATAGTTCTACTTGTATGACTACGTTTGCTGAGCGTTGATGCCTTGTTTGAGAAAATAATATTATCCTTTTTTTTGAGATTGTCTTAAGCAAGGCTTTCCGCTGTTTCACTATACAGGGTAGAGATAGAAAATTGGCTGTTCAAAGATAAAAAAAAATATTTTAGAACGTAAAAAAAGTCCAATTCGATTTTACATTTTTTTCTATTAACTACCAATTTCGCTACATATTGCCCTGTCGATTGACCCTTGAAATTCGAATTTCACACATTTATGCAATATTCGAAATTAATAATCCAAAAAGAGCTCCCAATACAGGATCTAGACAACTTATAATTAAAAACATCAGATATCTTATTTTGACTTTCGAAACAAGCTAAATTCGACTTGGCTTAAGCGAAACCACAATCGCTTTCGAACAAAGTAATTATTGTAAACAATATTAATGGTATTAAATTATTTTTCGCTTGAAATAGCAAGCAGTTAAAAAATAATAAAGAAATAATATTACTTTCACCGTCTACAGCGACATGAGTTAAATTCTATTTACTTTCACTCGATGGAGTGAGTAAGTCATTTGGCGTTTGAAAATCAACAATAATGGATTTAAGTCTTCAGCAACGTTTAATCATTGTATACCTAACAACAGAAGGCGTCCCCGCTATTCAAATTTACTGCCATCTGCGAAGATTCTATGGAGAGCTCTGTTTGGACCTCACATCTGTTCAAAGGTTGGCGAGCATCGTAATAGATGAAATGGAAAATTCAGAAATATCCTTCTAATTACATCTTTGCAACCCAACAACGTCTATTGTGCGAATGTGAAAACAATAATATTTACCTTTTAATATATAATTGACAGGTCGCCAGAAGTGTAATATTTCAATACATCTTAAAAATTATATACTTCTTTATGGCTCTTAATATTGAAGCCAAGTGGGTAAAATATTCGGACAAAGGGTATTTTATCAATGTTGATAACCTCTCAAGATCATGCCCCAACGCAAAGCAAACATAATTCTACTTATATGACTACGTTTGCTGAGCGTTGATGCCTTGTTTGAGAAAATAATATCATCCTATTTATTTGAAAATGTCATAAATGTTCATGCTTTATACGTTAGTACTGGCTCTTTTCTCCTGAATCGTGGCAAAATAAAGTTTCAACCGAATTCGCATCCAGATTATATTTCTTCAAGTGGATTATCGCTCTTGTTCATTTCATCGGTTCTAGCGAATGTTTCACTGAAGCTAAATCAAACATTTTCCTTTTTCAAAGATTATTTTATCTTATGGAAATGTTGTTGGCCTTAATAGTAATGACAGATTAACTACTTACCATTAGTAATGAGTCTTTCAACTCAGCTGTGCCTCCTGAAGTTTGGTTGTATTCATTTCGGTAGTAAATTTTTCAGCTCCAGATCTGTTTTTAACCGGATATTTTTGTAACCTATGAACATATTAGACTTTTTAAAAATTTCCGGGTTTTAGTTTTTGTAACATCTTTTTTCATAATTTTCAAAATTCTGCTTTTCGCTCATTTTGAAAAAAAAAACACAAGTAAACAGTCAAAAGAATGCTTCTTTTGCAAATTATTTCCTAAAAAGTGACAAAAGAAATTTTCCTCACCTTTTTCTCCAATTATTTATACTTTTTAAGTACTGATCATGGAAATATATATGGATTTAGAACACACGTGCAGCTTTCAACACCTACCTATCGCCATTTTGAAGTAATATTTTACTACAGTAGAAACTGGTAAAATGTTTTCAGCGAAATTTACAGATGGCGTTATCTTACAAAAAGAATGTTCTTTTTCTTGTATTTATCTAAGATTACCAGTGTAATACCTTTTTATATTCATTCTCTTTTCTTCTTGTCCAACATAAATCAAATATAAGTCTTTTAGTTGACATTAAAAGTCGATATTTGTACTTTGATCTTAGGAAAATTAATAATTAAAAAATAATAATCGGTATTAAGTTTATGAAATCAAAACATTCTTAAAATATTGAAACATTTGTTTAAAATGAATACGTACTGATGTCATTTAACTTCGTAGTCGGACGAAAACGGGTACTTGTATTGTTGTATGGCCATTATTCGGTGATAGTATCAACTTGGAAAGATTAACTATAGCGATCAGAATGTTCATAGAATTGTACAATAATAATTGTGAAGTCTCTTTTACTAAACAAACAATCCGTCAGTTTACAAATTCAAGTGCGACTGAGCGAGAATGGAACTTACATGAAAGAGAGAACACTGGAATATCACTGTATCATCGCTCCGAGTTACTGTCTTCTTTATGATCGAATTATGATATTTATCCAAAAGGGGGAGAGATTTGAAATATTTTTCATCTCGATCTTTGAATTAACGTTAAGTGTATTTTTATTCTTTACTCTTTTGTCTAAATTTTCGTTTTTGGTAAATTTAAATAGAATGAACAAATCAACTTCAGCGCCATCTACTTTGGAAAGAATTGCCGCTTAATAAGCCAGTTAACAAATTGTAAAACAGAGCGACTATTTATTCTATAAAAGTATGTATCATTCAATTAAGGCTCTGAGATTAAAGATTAGATGAGTCTCTCTGCCAAAGACATGAAATAAGAGTAGAATGTTTCGTATATAACTTTAAAATTCAGACAACCTAGTTGACTTCGTACCGTTTTAAATTGATATTGGATTGACAAGTGACAAACTACACTTGCAGTTAAACTGATTTGTAGTAAAATATTATATGATCGTTGAAAAAGAAGAGTTACGGATGCTTACTATTGGAAAAAGTCTCAGTAAACGATACTAATAACTAAGATACTAAAAAGAATATGATTTCTATCATGTAGAAAGCAACATTTTGGAAGATTCGTGTTCTTCTTCGAGTATCAAGCCATCGATATTAATTACCAGAACGGCATTGCGTCATTCTGTTAAAAAAGGGAAAGTTTCCCATTGATAAAAAAAAAAGGAATTTTAATGAAAATTTAGTTCGAAAAAGTATCTCATTCAGTATTTTTTTTTTAAAAAAAACAAAAGGCAATTATAGTTATAGATTTTATTATTACAGCTATTAAAAGGGATTTCCCTGAATGTTATCTCCTTTTTCATTGGCCGGAGAAACCGTTTTATGATTTTCTCGTAAAATCTCATTCGTGCCGGAAATAAGATTCCGCTTCCCATGATCATTGAGAAATACACGTGCACCCCGTTATTTTTGAATGTTTAAACGAAATTAGTTTGAGCGATGGACCGAGAACAGGTTTATAAGATAAAGAATAACAAAAGCAATTCTATTAAATGCTTATTGATTATTTTTTTTTCAGAATGAAGAGAGTCCATGTTCACTTTCGGATTTTTTATCCTCTGATACACCGTTATTAGATTTCTCTAATGAACAAATGTCGCCAGACAGTATTTGTCTATCTGCTCCCAGCTCGCCTGATTCAGAAAATGACGAATCGGATAAAATGAAAATGAGTCAAGATTACAAAGAGGATAAACAGGATAGAGATATTTCACCAAAAGGTGAGAATCGTCTACTGTTATCTTAATACTGTTGAAATATAATATATTTCCAATAGATCCAAGAAAAGATAGCCATAAATATAAGAGAAATAAGGATGAAGAGATAAATATTTCTACTAGTTAGCGATAACTATTAAATAGACTATGCCTAAAATAGTTTTACACATTGCAGGTTCTCAGTATCCCCGTAATCGGTATGCATATTACGCTCATAGACGTAAAAGTATGGATTTAAACTATTTTTTAACGAATTAACTAAATTCTATTATTATTATTATTAAACCAGATACCAGATATACTCGATTCTACGGAGCACCCATGCTACGTCATTCCTGTCAAGGAATTAGTAAGAATTGAAAATAAGCCTATTATACATTAATTAATCATTATACTGTTTTGAAGATTGGAGATTTCCAAATGGTGGTGAGAATTATAGAAGATACTTTCCAAGTAGGAATTTAATTATAATTTACTTGAAATTATTATTAATAATAACATTCTCTTTCAGATCACTTTTTTTACTTTAGCCATAGACATTTTACGCCAAGATGCAGGCTAACGAGGTCGCATAGGCCTCCGGAATTTTATTACTATCCACCAGTAAACCGATTCAGTGGAAATTCATCTCCAAACTCTATGGTACAGTATAGGAGCTGTTTGGGTCTTTGTCAACAAAATTCATTTGTCTCTATTTTACCTAATGGAGGTATAAGTTATTTTCAACCTCCAATGAGTTACAACATTCGAAAAACGTACAAAAAAAATACCTAAACAATTTAAGCAAGGCAACAGGAAATATTAAATTTCTGAACATCGTCTTCGAATATTAAAATTCTTTTTACTGAAGATGTATTGGAAAAGAGATGATAAGATTTGTATCCTCTATGAAGCAAAGAGATAAGATAAGTCATAATTAGTGGTTTTATTATTTAAATATCGTTTCTATATTAAATGTCAATCATTACTTGTATTACTAAGAAAAGATTGGAAAAGAAAATTAGCGAATTTCTTATATTAAAAATTCTGTCATATGAAAATTTTCGGGTTCATTCAATTGCTCAACTGTGACCTTTTAATTAAAAATATTTTAGTATTGAATTGTAGACATAGAATCTAAATTTTTTCTCAAAAAATGAACAACTTACTTTATCCATTGTCTCATCTTCATCGGTAATTATATAATTTTTTAATAAGTCATAATCACAAGGCATCTAAAAAATTAGCTTAAGTCTTTAATTAGATAATTCAGTTATTAAATTACTAACATTTTTGTGATATTTTATCATCAGTTCTCGCTTCTTATAATAAGAAGGTGGGGGTTTCACACCTTTAATGATTGTTGGTATTGCGTAAGGCTTCAAGTATAATCTATCCGGATTGTTGAATTCTCTTGTTTCGAAGTGTTCGGAGCAAACTTTCTTGAATTTAATGCAATCTTTATTCTTATCAAATTTTGATTGCAGCTCGGCATTATTTAAATTGCGTACCCAAATTGCAGCTCTGTAATAAGAAAATGTATTAGAATTCCTAAGAAAAGAGTGCTTTCATTACGAATCGGGATTTTCTATGTAAAGAGAAACGTTAGCTTACCTATCTAAATCCTTTGGAAACTGATGATATTTAACAGATCGATCTCTTAACGAGTTATTATAGCATTTATAAGACACACAATTGTAACCACCACCGGATGTCATTATCGCTAATTTCTTAGGTAAATGTTAACGAATGTTTGCTATTGTTGGGAAGAGATGATCTATTTCCTGTTGTCTGCAATTTAAAAATTAATTAAACGGATATCCGTAAATTGCGTTGTTTTTTTTTGGCACGAAATTCTGATCATACAAATATTTAAAGTTTGATTTACCCGTAAAAATTCATCATACAAGAAAAAGGATTATTTAAGAATTATCCTTTTACAAATATTTATCCAAAATTATGCTTGTAACTCGGAAACAAACAATAGATAGTCATTTAGTTAAACAAATGGAAAGCACACTGCAATTTTTCAATGAATTTCGTTGAAATTGATTAACACCGAAAAACCTTTTTAAGACACCAAACATTAACAAAATTAGTCATCTAATTATATATTTATTATGTACTAATATATATAATTCAATTGATTGCAGAACTCTTGACTGTGCAGAATTTGACAGACGTCGCCCTACGTTTAGCATCGCTTTGAATCTTTGTGAAGGAAAAATACCAATCTTTTGTGCTTATCTGACAATTAGTGATAATTATTTATAGCATTTGTGCTATTGATTATTCGTTAGATTGTGAAGGCTCTTAAGGATTGATATTATCAATAAACAGATCATCGCTTTGTGACTTTGAAAATGAATCTTCTTCCAATTTTATTCTCTATTTACTATTTTAAAGACTATACCTTATGCGATATGATTTTTAAAAATTAATTTAATCTATTTTCATGAAAATCCTCTTTTATTTAATAATTTATTTATATAAAAAACAAATCGAACTTTTGAAATTTTTCGTCGAACGTCACGTGCTTCTGGTGACGAGACAGGAAATGATGTAGCCTGTGCTCTTAATTTGACGTCATATCCTTTCTTATTTGCGCCAACTTGGCACTTGTGCTGCTGCGTCGAATGAGGAGACTTATTTGTGGTGACAGAAATTGTAAAAGACAGTTTAGGAAAACAACAGGCTAGTTCGTGTCTTTATTAGTCCATCTGAAAGACGACGAATTATTTTGTGTAAGTAACTTTGAAATTTTATCATTGTCCATAATCTGGTCGCCGTGTAATAGTAATAGTTTATATTTTTCAGCAGATATCCCAAACAGAAACAATTTAAAGTTGAAGTGTGTGCCACATTTGATTCCTTAGAAACCGACACAAAAGTTGTTATGGCTTCAAATTCCGACAATAACAACCAAGTGAGTAGGCCTATTAAAAGAGAGATAAGAGATTTAGAAGCCTTAAATCCCGAAAATATGAGAGAATTTTCAATTTCACGAATTTTGGGAACCTTGGAATTGATGAATCGGTCTTTAGAAAGAATGGCGAAGAGAGTCAAAGCTTTGGAAGAGGAGCGAAAAATTGCTATAGCAGCTTCGCCATTGCCGATGATGTTCACTTCGGGAATATCTATAACAACACCAGGAAGCGGCTCTCTATCATCACCTCACGAGAACTTTACCCAACCAGATTTTTTGGTTAGTTCAACACCAGAGCAGCAAAGAGGCGTCCAATTGGCAGTGGACAGATTGGATCGTTGGTCGGGAGATTTACAGGAGATATCCTGGTCCCAATACAAGGAAAGTTTTCAAAGAGTATGTTCAACATTGTCTGAACAAACGAGATTAATTGTACTCAACCATGTCCTGGACAGTCCAGCCAAGTCCATCTTTTCATACCTTCTTCAATATGATCAGTTGACTTGGCAGCAACTAAATACCGCATTTACGAGGGAATTTGACGGCGAAAGGAGAAGGGAGGCTCAACAAATGATTATTTTCTCCGAGATATGGGACTCGAATTATGAAAGACTGCATCAATTTGCAAAACGTATTAGCAATTTGGTAGATCAGGCTTTTCCTCCGCAGCAACGTGACTTCATTAAAATTCAGCAAGTAATTCGAGCAGCTCAAAGTTATCCAATTTTTCAAGGAAGAAACGAGTGGATAAGGAATTTATCGTGGAGCGCTTTTCTGGACGTTATTACAGAAGGCGAGGAGATATATCGCTCCAGACAACGATCTATGCCGATTAATTCTATCAAGAGCGAATGTTCCTAGTGCTTGTTTTTAAAAACTGTTTCAAGATTATATATTTTCAGCGTATTATGTATATTATTTATTTACAATGAATAGTCTAACAGTTTACGCAATTCGAACAAAATATTTAATCATTAGAAATAAATATATTCAAGCACCGGGGTATTTATTGTTGTACGTCGATTATCTCAAACATCTAGTTAAGTCTTACTCTTGTCTATTGTTCAAAACTAGTCTCAAACCGATTATAATCAATTATAGCGTTTTTCTTACTTAAACAATTACAACTATAAACACCTGTATGCTCTTGAAGATAGATAAAGAATTGAGGATGAATGACGAATCATTGTGATTTTGTGATTTTTTTCTTGTACAAACTTATACCCAGAATAATTGAAAGAATAAAATATGCAATTACACCGTTTTTCTCAAACCATTCGTTCATCATTAGATACTTTCTACACTATTGTGCGTTTATAGTATTCTCTTAATATTTCAATTCTTCTTGTTTTACTTAGTTTATAGCCAATCGCGAGCTCCAATTATCAAACAACTTATCTCCAATAGGTTGCTTTTGTAGTGTAATAGCGTTGTTGTTTTTATTATTGAGATATAACTGTAAACTCTTTGCTTTTTAATTATTTTGCAGACCGCTTTGTTTTGTTACGAATTAGTGGGAACTGACCAAATATGATCATTCAATATTTTCTATTTTCGTAAATAACATATTTATTTAATTAAATAATAATATATATTTAAAATATTACAAATAATATTTCAAAAAAGTAGTTTACGAAAATTAGTATTTTTTTCAGATATACTAAATCTATATTTAAAAAAATTAAAAGAATAATGGTAGATATTAAAAATAATAAGAGGGTCGCCATTTTATTTTTCAGAATGACATTGTTGACTATATTAAGTGTGCATTTTCTTTCATTAGTGGAAACGAGCTTTACAGCTTCTGGAAAAGACTTTACGCGAATTTGTATTGATTAATTACGGTAAAATATAAACTTTAAATGCACTAGAAACATTAAATGATACAATAGTAACTTTTTCTTTGTACAGGTGCGTAAATTTTTCAAACTGCTGATAGAATTCGGCATTAAACTTCCCTAAAATGATTCAAGAGGTGAACTTACAAGCCGGTTCCGTGCCTCCCAAACGTGGCGGTCTCGTATGTCAGGCGTACAACTGTAGAAATGTTTCGACCAGGGATCGTCATGTTAAATATCATTCTTTTCCAAGAGATTATCAAAGGTAGATTATTTCTCTTTTTAATTAGAAAAATTATTTTTAAATTATAATTGTTGCCCTTTTTAAGAAGGAGACTATGGGTCCGAAATTTGGGTAATGACGATCTGGACCATGAATTTAAACATAATCCAGAAATTTTAAAACGTCGTAAAGTATGTTCTGCACACTTTACTGATAATTGTTTCAATAGTTTTGAAAAAATAAGTCTTCTTCCAATCGCTATTCCTACTTTGATAAATTTTTTTGGTTCTCCGACTAAGAGAAGACGACGCCGTTGTTTAAAAAACACAACAACTCCAGCTTTGGATAAGAAGCGAACTAAAAAGCAAAAGAAAAGAGGCAAGAGAAAGATCGCTAACAAAAAGAAAGTTGAACAAGAAGAAAGTTCTATCGCTCGTCTAGATAGAGAATTGTACGATGCAGTTTATCGACTAAATTAATTTGTTATTCAATTGTTTCTCGTATTCTAAATCTTTACAAATGAATAATTAATTAGTTGATGCTCTGCTATTACAAGTAACGCTTCGTTTATGGCGCTATCTAACCTATGACGACGAATAAAATATGATAATTATACTATCGATCTTATAAATTTTAATTACTAGATAAAAAAGAGAAAGAAAAAGCTTGAGAAAGAATTAAACTAATTCAATCCATAGCAATGTTTCGTAGGCCTATAAACTATATTGAAATTTCAGTGAGTATTCGATTTGCTTCTTCTGAATTCGCTTCTCTTCAGCCGTCTGGTTCAAGTGAAAATCTGATAAGGTTCCTTATAATCAACCAACATAATTTAATGTCGAATTTTGATAATCAATCATTATCAAGCACAATGAGTCCATCTCGTTTGTTACCTCCTGTGACGAGTCGGACAAATTGGCAACATTTTTTTATGACAGTAGATTTTGTACTCCAAGAAACAAATGAGGAAAAATTAAGGCTTATCCTTAGCTCTATACCGGAGGAAAACCGATTAAGAATGGCTCAGATATTCGGTCCTGATCCAACCAAATGGGAATGGAATAGAGTTAGAGATTTCATGTCGTGTACCCAAAGTTACCTACCCGCTGGCGAAGCTCTACGTCGTCTCGGACAACGTAAGCAAAGACCTGACGAAACTCCAGAAGAATTTCTCGCAGAGCTTAGGATTCTTATTCATCAAATAGGCTGCGCTGATATTGATGTTATGCTCTCATCATTCTTCGTTTTAGGTTTAACAGACGAATTTACGGCAAAGAAAGTTCAAGAACTATGGCACCGTGAAGCCTGCATCGACGACCTCTTGGCAGCTGCTCAAACTTTTCAAAGTGCATCAAGATAACAATAAAGATCAAGATCAGAATAAGAAGAAGAGAAATCTATCAAGACAATTATTCTTTTATCTTTTTTTTTAATTTAAAAAAGTCTCTTTTCTTCTTCAGCAATTTTTTACTTTTCTTAGTCAATTTACAAAACTATTTTAGCATCTAATGTTCTTATTGAATCCTTATTTTTACCATAAATTTTGCAATTAAACATTGTAAACAATAAGATAAGATTAGTATTCATTTTTCTTTGACAAACAATATTAATTACATAATAACACGAATTCTAAATCAATTAATTTAGGGCAAAAAAACTTATAACATCAATGAATAGAAAACTATCTATTAGATGTTAATAGAGGAGGCTGCTAGATGTTTCCTTTTCAACTGCAAAGAGAATCGGAATATCGATTTGTTACAACCTGCGCAAAAAAAAAACTTTTATAATCTCTACATTAACAAAATATCATAGTGGTTATTACTCTAAATAGAAAGATCGAATAGTTGCAGTTGTAGCTACGCATAAACAAACGTACATAGTCTCTAAATAACAAGTATTTTCCAGATAAAACTCATACCGGGCGCTAAATCCTTCGTAAACATGGTGATATGAATACAAATAATTTTTCGTATTTTTACTTTCTAAATTTCTTTTAATTGTGATTTATATATAATGAATTTTATTTAAAAGAGAAACATTTGTGTTCATTATATAAGTACGATAATAACAATGACGTCATACACGTAGTCGGCCATTTTGTTATGATATAGCTGTTTTTGTAAGATTTTAGCGTTTTTCAATCAATAAAATGTTTAAATACTCTGTTATCTTATGACATCCACACTAAATATATGTCATAAGGTTAAAACATTAAATCATTTTATTGATAAGATGGTTCAAACTGTAAAACAGAGAATATTTTCACTTTAGAAGTATCGGCGAAGAGAAGGTTTATTGAGAAAGAAATAAATAAAGAAAAGTCTAATATCTATCATCAAAGTTCTTTGTTTCTTTGTTTGAATCAAATGTAAAAGTTAGATACATTCAATAATAAGTAAATATAATTAATTTTTTGTTTTAGAATGAATCAAGAAGGTTGAGAGAGAACGAAATTGTAGGAATAGATGAGGGATAAATCTTCAGAAGAGATTATTAGAATATATAGAGGTCTCCAAAAAATCATTGGTTACAGAACCTTGTTAAAGAAGAGAGAACTTTCCTGAATAGACAGGTGAAGATTGTATAATAATGTACAGTTTAACTCAAACTAATAGCCGATTTTAGGAGGCAAACACTTATTAAATTATTCTCTTGAATAGATTGATATAGACATCTTTAAGAAACAAGAGAGAAAGCGTGATAATACTAGACTTTTGATATTTTCCTTCTTCCTGCATCAGAATTATCTAAAAGTAAATCGTCTACTAATATTATCACATATTAATAAATAGCCTAATGTAGATGCTACATACAGAAATGAGCTGTATTATTGGAGTTTACTTCTAGAATGTAACCCTAACCCTGTATATATGAAGGAACAAAAAATTGAATCTAGGTCTTGCTGTGATACAGCTTATGAAAAGTGATTGATTGATTGCCATATCTGCGGTTATTTGAAAGGTTACTAGTAAGTGAAAGACTAAGGTAGTCAGCTGCCAGTGCACCAACCACCGTTAATTTCAAATCGCCATAACTCCCGGGCTGATTTAGCTCAAATTTTGAATAGTGGTTCAGTTATTGGAGAGACAGAGAAAGCTTAGGTTGGGAACTGCTACATTAGATGGTAGGTTCTAATAGCTACACTAACCCTTGGGCTTATAGTGTGTGAGCAATAAGGGGCTTGTCAGTTCCAGTTATTGTTCCAGTTTGCATCCTATGCGAAAAGATGTTATTGTAACTTAGCCGTCTCTTGACAATTGCTTTTCTGCGTAGACAATCAAATTGAGGACACTTTTAGGAAAGGATGCTAATTATTTAATATTGGTTCTATAAAAACGTTTCTTTATGAAATAATATAATTCTTTCATACAGTCTTAATTCACAAATTTGAAGAAGAGTCTCAACTTTTATTTAGAAGAGATATGAAATTGACTCTTTAAAAAGAAATGATTATTTTGAACAAAATAAGAAAAGTTAAAAAAAGATTATCCGTTCTATTAAACTTGCTACAAGACAAAAGATAACTAGATTGCCATGGTTTCGCTTCAGCTTTATTCATCAACAACGAACGTTTAAAAAGTGGAAGATTGTTTGCTTAAGTAACAAAAAAAAATTTAAAATAAAAGATATTCGTATTAGATCTTATAAGGAAGCAAATGATAAGAATGGAAAATAATGGACAAACGTTGCGTTCTCTTATTTATTTAATTTCAATAACAAAACAAACGACCGAGGCTAGGGTAATAAGGAACAATGAGTAGGTAAGTGAGTGGATACTACTGTATATACTCCAATATAAGCATCAATATAATATTCCATTTCCAAAAATCTTAGGAGATAAATATGATAAATTTTTAAGATTATCTCTTTTTATAATAAACAATTATCAATTTTTTTTATTATCTCTATAGATGGATTAAAAGGACCCGATTATCATTTTGAAGATCTATTACTACCAAGTAATTGCCGAAGTTGTTATAAAAAGAATTAATAGTCAATTTTAGTCAATCAAAATGCTGAATTGCTTTTGTATTCCAATATTAAAGAAGTATCAATTTGAATAAGGACGAAAAAAATTTGTTGAAAGTTCAGTGAAATTATAAATTCATCTATTCGTTCAAAGTTTGTTTTTGGGAATTGAAATGATAATCCGGAGATTTGTTCAGGAAAAAAATCGCCTGATAAAAAGTAAGACGTTTCACTGAATATAGACTATATCAACAAATGACTTGTAAATAGTTTTCTAGCAAACTCATGAACAGAGACACTCGTAGACGAAGAGAAGGATTACATTCAACGGCTTGTCGCTACGGTGTGTTGATGATAACTTGATTCTTCATGAAATAAACTCGACGAGAATAATCTCAATGCGCAGACCAGATCACCTAAGAGATATCTTGCCAAGCGCTTTGTAATCAGCATAAACCTATTAAAGAAAAAAAGAGAAAAGACAATTTAAAATATTTTCAAGATGGCGGCATTTTCATAAAATAATTATTTAGCTGGAAAAAAAAAGTTGGTAACACATACCATAAAGTCAACAGTCTCGTAGCATATTTTAAAGAAGAGTTGCTTGCAAATCAGTACTTAAAGTTCTCGGAAACAGAAAAATTCATGCAAATTTCAACCTGCTGCACAACAGGGGGTCTGGTCAGAACCAAACTGACTGGGCGGTGGTACAGTACGGTACCATGGACTCATATACCGGAAATTATATTTCTATAATCTGGTACCCGATAACTTCTCAAAGAAGTAATTAATTTGCTTTAAGAAAAGTTCTTTTTACTCTCAGAAAAGAGAGAAGCTAGGCAATCTGAACGCGATTTTTGTTGTTTAGTCGTTTTATCGTCATCTATTAAATGTATTTTATACTTTACAGAGAGAAACCGGAAGTAGTTGTTTCAACATTGGCGGGAGGAAACGTTTCCCTGGCTGTCAGTTGGAAGCTGAGATATTGTGAAATTGCGAATTTTGTAGGAGAAAACCATTGAAAAGTTTGTTTTAAATTGAAATGAATATAGGATAACATTGAATAGATTAATAATGGCCGTTGTAGTAGGAATGTTTAATTATATTTAACAATAAAAAAACAACATCCGGCAGAGACGGTTTTTCAAATATTGAAATGTTTTCATTTTTCTTTCATATTTGAATATTTGAAGTGGACGAAGAACTTAACGAAGGCAGCAAATATTCGTCGTTTCAATCTTTTCTCTCTGCATTGAGTTCATACGAAAAGGAGGGAAAATGCCATTTCGTCGTCGTTGACTCTACAACCCTTGAAAGGGGCAGGAAGAAAGCGCCATTAAGACATTTCAAGTATCAATAATCACTATAATTCACTATTCATTGCTTTCATCTTTGTTCCAATATCTTCAGGGATGACATTAAATATTCCTATGTGAAATATCGGTGCGAGAGGTGGGGATCCTACGAAAGTAAAGGCAGAGGAATCCGTAAACAAAGGTGCTACTCTTCTTCTTCTTCTTCTTCTTCTTCCTATTTATTTTATATACTCTTTTCAACAAACGCAGGACAAGAAAAACCGACTGCAAGGCTGGATTTACTCTGTTTGCCGGCTCGACTGGAAATTTCCTTGTCGTTACGAATCTACGGAAGGAACACAATCATACATGCGATAAGATGAAGCTTTGTTATACAACGAAAAAGCTTCAACCACACAACACCGAGCCTGACGTTGAAAATGAAGAAGGCCTACTGTTCATTGATGAAAGTGTCAAGGATTAACGTTGATTTCAAATAGCAACAATTGTCTTGTTTATTACTAGATGCTATACAACAATTCCATTTTCAACAGTTTGCTTTGTTCAGATCATTTAATCCTTGTCATTTTTTTTAGTTGGACTATATTCAAAATCTCTCTCTCTCATTTCTTTTCTTCTTCTTCGAGTCATCTTCTCTTTTGGAAAGATTTTCCCCATAATCTTCTCATTGTATTAGACTGTAGAAATTGAACTTTCCAATTGATTTATGCCTAGATAATATCATTATTAATTACAGGATGATTGAGCAGACTTTCTCTTCAAATCCATGCTCTTGTTCACCTACAGCCATCGTCAAAGAAAATCGCATGAATGTAAATGCTATATAGTGTAATAAGCACTTTTTCTCCTTTCTAAAATTCGATTGAGTCGAGAAAAGTTGAAAAAAAGAACAAATTCAATTAAAGGTTCTAATTATGTTTATTGTATAAAAGTGTTATCTTTGAATTGTCCTATTGTCAGAGATTCAAGCAGAAAGAACTGAGGAACAGTACATCTCTACAACGAGAACCGTAAGCAGGTCTATTTCTCTTGAAAGTTAATTGAAAGTATCGTGAAGAAGCAGAAGAGAAAGAGACACTTAGTTTAAATATTTAAAAAAATATCCAAGGAGAATAGCTAGATTCCAGAAGGTCAATCTAATTCTTAGTATGCATATCTAAATAATTCAACTATTGGCCTATTGACTGTATATATAAATAAGAAATGCTGTTGAATATAATATTCGCTGGTTTCAACTGTGAAATATTAACTAGAATACTGAAGAGATCAGTCGTTTCGTATAGTTTATCCAAAGGAGAATGATAATAGCAATTTTCAAACTATATCTAATTATCTCTATCAAGATATCATCAATTTTTCCATATCAAAGAGGTAAACGATTAGGATTATCAGTGAATTTCCTATAAATCTCTTGTTGTTGTTGTTTTTTAACAATTTCAGGTGGTAATCTTATAAATATTGTAAGTGAAAAGTATGGTTCATCTTGTACGACAAACTCGTCGTTTAACGAACATACTTTGTGCGAAAATGCAATGAAACCTTTATGGGAATCATCAACAGAATGGGCTAGTTCTTGTACAAATAAAGAAACTTGTACGTCCAAATATATTCGGATAGACTTTTCAAAATCTTACGATATTACTGAAATATGCCTAAGTCAAAGATTCGTTGACTCTATCTATCATATAGACGTTGCTATTGTTCAATTTAGTAAGGGAACAAGTGCTAAAGTATACTTTGAAAGAGGAATACCCGATAGTTGTATTCTACTCAATCATAACGTTGGAAAACATTCAGATTGGATAACAGTTCAAGTTTTACAAGCTTCTACTTATTTAAACGTAGGATTAAGTAGTATTATAGCCTATGCATACGACGGTATAACTAGTTGTTTTAGATTGATTGTATTCAAAAGCATAACTATCATTTCAGAATCAATTGATAATGGCCAAGATAATAATGATTTATACTATACGAATGTTGCTAATAGGTTTATTGGTGCAACTTGTCAAGCTTCTCATGAATACAATTCTAAATGGAAATGCATTTATGCTTTAGACTATTTTCATAAAATCAATAGTCAGCTTTATGGTTGGGCTGTATATTGTCGACAGGGTAATTGTTACGGTCATAATATACTTGTTACATTTCCATATAAGATACGACCAATGAAACTTTGTACCGCAAATCGGTATGGATCAATCAACCAATCAATCAATTAGGATGTTTATCGTTGTTTTTCTTTTCTTTAACAGCTACGCTATGCAGCGAACAGCAAAAGGCTTATCTATCACTTGGAGTTCCGGAAGCATTCAGCAACTTGCTTTACCGTATAGTGGTCGAGTTTGTTTGTATTACGGAGGAAAGAATATAGAAGGTTCTGTAAGATTAACGTTTACACAATTCTATTACAAATTCGACAATGGATTATCAATTGTTGAGGTTTTTGCACAATGTAAGTGTCCAAAGAATTGTCCTAATTACAATACTGTATATATACAGTGTGTACATAATGTACTGTATTATTCTAGTAAAACCGAACAGGAAGTTTGGAATAGAAGCTGAGGATAGCGCCAACTTTTATTTACCAATTAAATCGACAGCGATTAGCTTTGGTATCTTCGATAAAAGAGATGATATTTACTGTAGGAATTCTATTGTAACGCTTCTAAATGAAGATGGTGAAAGAGTTCTTACTATGCGTTTATCTTCCACAATCGACAATCAACAAGTAATTGTATTGGAAACGGGCAATTATAAAGATATTCCTATTCACAATGAAAACAGATGGAATTGTAAGGTTTGGAATGATTTATGGATTGATTTTTCAGATGGGAAAATTTCAATTGGGACTGGAATTCAATATCATTTTAATTCTCTATTTAATCTTTATCTTAATCATCAATTCGTCATTTCTGGGATTAATATTCTTAATAATTTTCATAGTTCTACTCAACTATTCCGTGTTTATGATACAGGTTTAATCTTTAGTCCATTCCCTACTGCAAATCTCCCTGTTCTTATCATTATTTTTCACGCTTACAGATGGAAGAGTGATCAGCTTCGAAAATGATACGCTTTGCCCGTCTCTTAGCCATGCTCTTGTTGATCATCTGTACGAAACTTGTGCAGTTATAGGAAGAAGAGAATTGACTATTCAAGAGCGTCTTCTCTCTACAAAATCTTTTAATATTTTCAATCAGTCCAATCCTACAATAACTTTAAAACATCGTCATACTTTAAATGACTATATTAATGTCACATTTCATTATGAAAGTGACGATATGATAAAGACCTATTGTCCATTAAACGACACTATGGAATCTATTGACCAGTTGAACACTTATAAATTTCAATGTAATCCATCTTTTCAATTTGTTAAGCGAATATTTTTTACCATTCTGATTGGACGACAAGGCGCTATACATGATATTGAAGTTTGTCATGTATATCCTTAAAGAATATTTAATAACGGATACTACAAGTTCTTTAAACTAAATTGAAATTCTCTTCTGATCATCATTCTCTAATCAACTTGAGAAATTTTCGATATAATAATGAGAAAAGTCGTTTCTAAAATATAAAATATAAGAAATTTTGTCAACAAACTTTTTTCCTGTTTGTCAATATCTAAATTATATAATTGATAGTAAAGCCTTTAAAACAACAATTAATCTCTACCAGTTAGTAATTAATGTTTAATTCCTAGTAATCAAAATAATATGGTAGATAAAGAGTTAATAGGGACATTTTTTTTCCATTATTGGATATATTAAACTATTCTATAGTTTGTCATAACGATGCTAAAAGTGAATTACGCCTTGCGGTCAATTGAGCTTAATTAGGTTATTTCCTTCAAATTTTTTGGATAATTTGCTCTTTATATATATATATATATATATATATATATATTGTATATAAATATAGGATATTTTTCAGTTTGTCAACAGTTTTATTGCGTTAAAGGCAAACTTAAAGTTATGAAAAGTGTATTACTTTTTATCGCTCTCTTCAGTCTTTGTAATGGTAAATATCAAAAGATTTCATTCTAAAATAGTACCTTTTATAATGGTTTTTTTCAAATATTAATACAGGAAAACCTTCATTCCCGTTTCAAAAGAGACAAACTTGCGATGATAAAGGTTTAGTTGACAAACTTTTTGAGATTTGGAGCGGAAATCCTAAATTATTTAGAACTACAGTTCCCCATTACGATTTAATTTCTATGCAAATTATGACTATAAGACCAATGGTCGAACATGTTGTTTGTCAATTAATTGAAACGACATCAGAGAAAGAGTTTAACCAAGTAATAACAAATACATTCGGTATCGATGGTTATACTTTAGCGGTCTACGAGGAGATCTTTTTTCAAAATCTTAGGCCTATGGCGGAATATGAAGAATCTTTAAAGATTTCAATAGATCTATTTGAATTCTTAGAGAAACATTGGAAAGGTAAATTTCCTATTGACGCCGATTTTATTGAAGTGAAAAGTTTCCTTGAGAAAATGAATGAAAAATACGGAAGTCATTGGCTAGCCTTACTGGATCCTACAGGACAATTCTCAAACTATTATACATTAGCCCTACTTGAGATAAAGGAAAAGGAGATTGACGATTTAGCAATGTTACTAACCGGTAAATTGATGTTAAACTATTAGATATAATTCGATAATATTTAATAATAATACCTTTATATATTGTTTGTTTAGAAGCGAAATCTGCCGGCGAAATAGCAAGACAATTAGGACTTCCAAAGTACGAAGCGGAAGAGTTCTTCAACGTCCTTACTGGTATAATCGTAAGAGGAGAGCCGATGGATTGGAGAAGCGCCGTTAAATTCTGCAGCGATGCTATCGATGTTCTAAAGATATTGAAGGAACTTGGACTTTTTAATATTTTTTAAAATCTGAAAGAGAAAGAAAGAGAAAGAAAGAAAGAGAGAGAGAGAGAAGATATTCTCTTTTTTTTTTTACTTTATTTTTCGTCTAAAAAACAGAAATAATTTGATAAAAAACACTTTATATGCGTTACGAAATCTATCATGGGCTGCGTATAATATAGGATTGAGGCTACTATTTAAGTGGTACAGTGCAGTAGACATAGTATAATAAGATCTCGGTAAAATTCGATTACTATCAAAGTAAATACACGTATAGGGAACGAGACATACGAAAAGTATTGACGAAACAATAAAAAGCATCTTTGCTAATTGAATTTCGTCCTTTTTATGAAAACGATGATTTTGAGTTGAAGATATTGTTCTTAGAACATTCTTTACTGAACGAACATGAAGAAATATAGAGATATTGAAGGCAATAACAACTAAAATGGGAACATAGATACCCATAGCAACCCAAATAAATTCAATTTTTAAATGTTCATCAAATAAACATAACGATCTTGTAGTATCGTATTTAATATCAACAAGTCCGGCCTGATGTAATACTTGATGACTTTCTCCCAGAATCCATACGAGAATTATAGCAAGTATGGTTCCAGTCCTATTGAATATGCGATAGTAAAGATGAGGTTTCACTATACACAACCACCTAATATAGGAGTAAAGAATTAAGAATTAGCTTCTATTTATAGTATACCCACTGCTATCGAACCTATTGAATGATATTATAGCCAACATTGACGGACTTGCTAAACAGCAGAATGCGCAAACCGCTCCAAATAGATTACATATTTGTTTCCATGGATTGTGGAGGAAGAGCTGTTCACCTCTCCAAAACATTCCAACTAAGGATGTAAACTGTACTGCAGACGATATGCCAAAATCGAAAATAGCCAATTGTACAACTAACATATTAGCGGCTGACCACAAAGACTTTTGACTTAGAACGGAAAGTACTATTAGAAGATTTCCGAACGTTCCAAATATAACTGAAATCAACTCGGTAATCCATGTCAATACAAGTACAATATCTCCTCCGGATAGCGATATATCTTCCCAACTTGAAGTAATGTTTAAGTACTTCATCTTCGATGGAAACGCTATAAAGAAAGCGTTTCCTTTATAAACCAACAATGTCACCTTTTGTACTTAATTAATTGATAAAAGATTATCTTTATAAATAGATTTTCATTACTTTCTTTCTATTAAAGATTATCTTTTTTTTATATAAAAAAAAAAAGAAAATACATCTTATATATATTCTTTATTAAATTAAAAAAAAGTTATTTTTTGCGTATTTGAGCGATAATGGAAGATTTTGTCGTTTTTATTTATTTATTTATTTATTATAAATTTGTATATTTGCCAGAGCTAATCATTTATTGGAGATTATAAAAAGTCTAAAAGATATCGAGGAAGCCTAGTTTTTTGGATATTTTAAGAATATTAATTATCTCTTTAAATAGTTTAACAAAGATTCTCCAATCAGCTGGATATTTATTTGTTAATATCATATTGAAGTAATCGACGACATGTCTCGTTTCATAGGATGGAAGTTGCAATTGCTCTGCAAATTCAGCAACAGATGTCGCCTCTGAAAAAATAAAAAGTTTTAATACAGGGATTATGATATATTTTAAAACGGTATATTATTGATTTACCACTTATCAAAATTGCTAATTTGTCAATTTCGTCATTGTTTATCTCAAATAGGGCTATTGAGTAGTAGTCAGCAACATTTTCAGCAGGGATCAGTAGGGCTAGCCAATGATTTCCATATTTTTCATTCATTTTTTCGAGGAAACTTTTCACTTCGATAAAATCAGCATCAATGGGAAATTTACCTTTCCAATGTTTCTCTAAGAATTCTAATAGATCTGTCCATGCCGACAAGGATTCTTCATATTCCCTGATAGGCCTAAGATTTTGAAAAAAGATGTCCTCGTAGACCGCTAAAGTATAACCATCGATACCGAATGTATTTGTTATTACTTGGTTAAACTCTCTCTCTGATTTGGCATCAGCTAATTGACAAACAAGACGTTCCGCCATTGGTCTATATATATCTATATATATTGAAATTGAGTCGTATAAGTTTGTGAAAAATCTTAATATTTTAGAATTCTCCTTCCAAGTGTTCACAATTTGATCAACCAATCCCAGATCGTTGCAGCCGCTACTACTTCTTGGAAAGGGAAAATCATAAGATCCTGTTTTATTAGAAAACCTTTAAAAGTGAAGAGTTTTTAAAAGAATGTTTACTTTTACCTTTGCAAAGACCAAACAGAGCGACGAAAAGAACAAGAACGATTTTCATAATTTCAAAGAATATTTTTCAAAATGGAGGACAAAGAAGTGATAAAGCGAAAGTATTTTTCGATATATATTATTGTGTTTATTCGCTAATAAAGATTAAACTATAAATGAAATTTATAGGAAATGACGAAATTACATTCAATCAATCTAGAATCATTAGATATTATGCACTTTAGTACAAAATAATAGTCCATTATAAAAAGTTAAATATGTAAAAAGAATAATAATCAACCAATTGCACAGAGTATATATATAATCATATTAACGAATTTAAAAGACAAATAATCTTAATTTTTGATTTTAATAAATGGCCGCCATTTTGTTCTATTTATTCCAAATAGAAATTATTCATACGATACTAAAAACCCTTATAAATCATACGATTTTTATTAGTCAGGATCAGTTTGTAACAATATAAATAATTATTTCTTAGCGTAACGACTTTACGAATAGTTTTTTGTACTTTTAATATATTTTCCATTGTCCTGTAACAAATTAAACTAAAAGCCTATATTTTAATAGAACAATAAGAATTTTCAATGGATCGTAACTTTCTTAATGAATGGAATAAATTAGTTTTAATGGATATCAATCGTTTTCTCATACTCCGATTCGTTTCATTTCGAGAGAGAGAGAGAGAGGGAGAGAAAGAGACAATATTATCTTTGTGTCGTTTTAAAAAACATTTCTATTTCTTTTAAAGCAAAAAAGAAAGTCTATTGTTGTTACAGGTTGCAAAAACATTCATCTATCCTTGACTATTTGAATCTCAATTGATTCTATTAGTATATCAATATACATATATTAATTAACTAATTAATTATTTCTATGTCATTCATATATATATATATAGAAACATATTACGAAACTATTATTGAATCAACATTTTATGAAGAAATAGTCAATTGCTATGCATTTTACAATATTTCAATAAAGGCACAATTCTTCTATTGTGATCAACTGCAAACTTCAATCATCCTGAATATTTATGAATACTGTGAAATGAAAAATAATTCATAAACAGACGATAGCTCAACAACAAACTATGCTTAGAATTCTATTAGAATTATCCTCTTCATTGAAAATATAGTCTTTTTGACATACCGATTATATACAGTATATATATAGTTTGTTTTAGTTGAATAAAGAAGCATTATGATTCGGTTCTTTTATTGCTTAACTAATATACTTTTATATGTATTTCTCTCCTCTTCTTTGGCTTTTGCAATGCAAGCCTGTGAAGAATACTTTTACGGAGCAAGTTGCGAAAAATGTAAGTATATATATCTTCTCTTCTATTGAAAAAAAAGCATAATTTTTCTTAATTGTTTGTTTGTTTGTCAAGTTTACCGAGGTGTTAAACTTATAGAATACGTATCTCATAAACATGATCAGAAACCGGACGTAATATTGTCATATAGAGATTGTACTGTATGGTGTCGTAAAAATTCATTTTGTTCTGGATATTCATACAACATTGCCACGGGTTATTGTTTTATCAAGACCAAAATATATTTGAAATACAAAAGCAGCCCACAAACAAACAGTTTATATTATTTATCTGGAAGATGGAGTTTTTATCATCTAGGTCCTTTTTTTAAATATATAAACTATAAGAAATGTTATCTAATTATGCAATCTTTTGAATAGATGGTCAAATATTTTGTGAAGAAAATGGTGAAATAATTGAAAAACAATTTTGTCCTCAATTATATTATCTTCGATACGATTGTATACCAGAGAGCTTTGATGCAGTTTGGAATGATAAATCCACTTTTTGGAAAACTGTTAACTACGATAATGTTAAAAGAGATATTAATAATATGATCAAAAGTGACGAACGTTACAGATGTAATAGTTTAAAATATCATGGTCGGAAGAATATTGCCTTTTTAAAGTCAGTATCTTTGACTGGTACTTCCTCTTTGAATTCCCTTTTCCATCCTCATCACGCTGTCGATGGAGTAACGAATACCAATGAAGTAGACGATATTAATAATATTTTACCTTTATTAAAATTTCCTTTTATCTCTCTTTTAGAGCTTTGGAGGTTGTTTGTCAGTGACAAGCACTAATTCAGTTTTAAGTATTTATCTAGGATTTTCAACACAAGTCCATAGCGTTGCCATCTTAAAGAATAATGATAATTTCTTACCAGATGTTAGAATATTAGTTAACGATACAACATGTACAGATTCTAGTTATGTTTATCAGCATTTACAAGAATTAGTTTTTGTTTGCAATATTCAAAACTATGGATCAGTAGTATCTATAGAAAGTGCAGAAGCCTTCTCCCTATGCGAAATAAGCGTCTATTCATGTAAAAAACAATAGTCTCTTTTATTAATCGCGTCTAAAATAATCTCTCTCTCTCTCTCTCTCTCTCTCCTTTAGATCACTTGAACGCTGGAAAATCGGTTTTCTTAAGGACAGATGCTTTCACACGACCAACAACCAATATAGTGTTAAATACTATTTATCCTGTGAATTTTGCTTTCCCGAGTCATTTTCTTGATTTGGAAGATATTTTTAGAGTTGTAAGTGTTACAGCCAAACTAACATCGTCACTTATTAATGGTAAGTTGAAATATCATATTCGATTAAGGCCTATATATTATATTCTTTATATTTTTTTAAGAATACGAAGTGTTTGTCACGAAAACTTTAAATATCTTAAACAGTGATAAAACCTCTTGTCCAGTCAATGTCGATACCGTTGATTGTTCATTGGATAGTGAAGGGCGTTATATATCATTTAAACCTTTAACTTCAACCAATCATCATATGCATTCTATTGAAGTTTTTGGTGAAAAAATTACAGGTTGTTTGTTGTTTGTTTAAATTTTTAGGCCTATATGTTTGTTTTTTTTTAGAAAATTCACCAAAAAATTTGGCTTTAAATATGCCGATTCTTCAAGAATCTGGAAAGTTTAGTCCTACATTTGCTGTTGATGGTAAATACGAAACTAGTACCGAATTGAATCAGGACGATTTTATAAGTGTTTACCTTGGTGGAAGATATTCCGTTACATCTTTTATAATATTCTATCTAAGTATGTTGTTTGTCAATTGATTAATACTGTTTACATTAAATATTATTATTCTAATTGATAGATACACAAAATATGAATATTACGGCTGGCGTTAATCACCAAAATCTATACTTTAAGGAAGCGAATTGTTTGTCAAAACAGACGATTGTCTCTTCGAATGATAACAATTATAAAATGTTTGATTGTAGCAATCCGTCTCCTATAGGATCTGTGTTTGTCTTGAAAACGAATTCATTGTCTTTCGTATACTTATATGAATTGAATGTGTTTGGTCAACTCATTGACAAACATAATTCTATTGTCAATTTTGAGAATATAACAATATATCGGAATGATACTGTTGATCACAGTTACTGGAGTACAATTAAGGCGTTTGATGATAATTATTTCAATATAATCTTCAACGACCGTAAATATCATTCCTGTATATCGATTGTTCACAATGCAGTACTGCCTTGGATATCATTAAAATTACAAACTACATATAATGTAGAAAGTATTCTTATTGTGCCTGGTGATCAACTATTAGAAGGTTTGTTAATCTTTCTTTTTATACAGATAAACGGTTTGTCAAATACTTTATTTCCAGATATATTCAATAAATTCGACGTTTCCGTGACAAATCTTCAATCTCCAAATCCTCTTTGGCCGAAAGTTTCGAGGAGAATTTGTAAATTTTTAAATTCTTCTATCAGCCACGGATTATTTTGGTATTTTCAATGTAATCACCATTCAACTGGGAATTTCGTTTATTTGACAAACAGAAGATTAACTTCTATGGTAATATGCGAATTAAAAGTATATGGACGTATTGAAACACTTGAACTTTTTCCAAAAATTAATATTGAAAAACATTTCTACAAACTGGACAATACAAATAACAAAATATCAAATGTATTCTATGAGACAAACATTACACCTATAATTAATGTATACGTTAGTTTAATAATGGATTCTCGTAAAATAATTAGAGTAAAGGGAATGCAAATTACATATTCAAACTCTCAATCGTTTATTGCTACTATGAAATTCTATATTCTTAAGGATATTTCGCAAAGGAACGATACAATTGAATTGTGCGACGTACATGATACTAATACGGGAGGAGAGATTCTCCAAGGATCAATCATCCAATACTTTTGTAAGACTACCTTAGAAGGTAGATATTTTGTTTTAGATACAGATGAAAGACCCTATATTGAATCTATAATATTCTATGCAAAGAGCTGTAAGTATAATTGATGTCTCTTTTCAATTATCTTGCGTCACTTGTTAATACTTTATCTAATCTATACAGACTCGTTTAGGAGAACGGGAATAACGATATTAAACCTACAAACTATGTTTGTCGATTGGTTTAGTTCGACATTTACGAATTGCGCAAAGCTATGTTTCGATCAGAGAGATTGTAGGTCATTCTCATTCAAATGGAGCGATACGGCTTGTTCAATATCGGAGAATTTCTTAACTGATAACGGTCAGAGATTGGATTCGATAGCCATTTACACTTTAAGGGCTTAAAACATACTGCTGTACAAACTATTATCGTTTTATTTAAGAAAAAAATGATAAAACATCTTTTTCTTTTATTGCGAGATCATCAAGACTAGTTTGTCTTCAGTTTTTACAATGATAAAATATTTATGACAAACTTGAAAGAGTATATTATTATTATATTTAGTTTGCATCTTATACTGTTCTGTTGATTGATTTTATACTACTCTAAGAGAGTTGTATTAAACAAGAGGTAAACAACACTTGACAAAACCTTTTCAAGTAAACTGGTTACTAGGTAAACAGTTTATCACATATGTGATCAATTTTTCATTATGAAGAGAAAAAAGTTAGCATATTGTATTGAATATATTTGCCATAATCTTTTATTAAATTTCAATATAATTAAATTATTTATTATTATTTATTTTGCGTTTTCAATTTTATCTAAAATATCTCCTTTTAATTTTTTCAATCTTTCAACGGCTTCTTTATACTTTTCGTGATTTTTTATCTTATCTATTCCATTTTCAACAGATTCCTCAATTTCGTCTTTAATCTCTTTTAAACGATCTAACGCTTCTTTTAAATGATCATTCTCTTTAAGTTTATCGATTCCTTCGTTTATAGACTCTTCAACTTTATCTTCCCATTCGTCCAATTTATTCATGACTTTTTGAAAGTTTTTATTCTCTTTAATACGATTTATTCCTTCTTCAACGCTGTCGACAAGTTTATCTTTAGCATCTTTAACATGGTCCCAAGCATCGCTTAAAGAATCTTTAATATCATCCCAATCCAACCATTTTTTATCTCTTGCCAAAGCTTTAGCTTGAAGATAATCTTTCAAGCTGGCAACTCTTTTTTCATTGAATTTTTCTTTGTTGAAATTTGACAAACTCTGCCGAGTACTATCAACACTTTGTCCGGTAAAATATAACAACGTAATAAAGATTGCAATAAGATGAATTTTCATTTTTCCAATGAATTATTTGGTGCCGATTTTAGGACAAAAAGATAGGAAATACAATATATACAATAATCGTATTCCTCTTGATATTTATATATATAAAAAACTGGTACAATTATCTTGTCAATTGTTCAATTATAAGTAATTGTCCGATTGGGATTAACGAATAAAAGATGTCATTGAATAGAAGACTATTGTTTGTCTTAGTTTGAAAAAAAAAGAAAGGCTAAAAAGATTAAAAATTTATAATTTACCTTTTGAATATAGTTTGTCATCGAATAATATTATATGTTTGGCCTTTTTTTTAAAGGAATAATTAAATATAAAGTAGTAAGTAGTTAATAAACTAATTTCTTAATTAGTAAATTACTTTCATTAACTTCTTTGTTTGTCAAAATAAAAAAAAAACAGGATATATATTATTACAGTTTGTCACAAAATGGCTAATTATCAAATAAAGAGATGAGATTGTTGTCAACTAAAAAAGGAACAAAAGTCGAAATTTCGATAAATGTTCAATGGAAGTGTTATTATCATTTTGTTTACTATGATGTATATACAGTATAAATTATATATATATAGTATATAGTAATATATGTGTAATTATTTGCATTCATTAATGTATTCTATAAGAAATGCTCCTTTGTTAAATCTATACAAAAGAAGGTGATAATTAGTAATAAGTACAGTAAAGCGTTAGAGTTTGTCTTGTGAAATATGGTTTACTTTTGGACGAAACATATTCAACTTTCAATTACTTTTTGGCTTCTTCTCTCAACAATTCAAATTATTAAATGTGTTACTAATAATGGTTTTGAAAATGATGATGATGATAATGATGATGATAATAACATATTATCATCGCATCTTTGTAACTTTGACGATGGTAAAGTACCAGAATTTTCGTACGTTGGGAAAACGGTATTAAAGGATAATTCTACGTTTATAAATACGAGAAATATTGAGGAATGTAAACAAGCTTGCTTATTTCAACCAGTTTGTCAATGTTTTACCTTTAATAAATCTTTGAAAAAGTGTCAAATTCATTCTGATCATTGCGTAAAGAGTATTAAAAATCTCGACATAAACGATAATCTCTCCAAATGTTTTAATAAAAAGATTCAAGATTTGGCTAATCCATTACACAGTACCTGTTTTCCCATCGAAACTAAGATTATCACCTATCCTAATAATACACTTCTAGCAGAACAATGTGTTAATAGTTGCAAACGGAAAATGAATTGTAAGATTATCCAACAGGTTGGTGACTTATCGTCAACTCCTTGTTGGATTAACGAGAATTTTTGTAAGATATTCGATGGTGAATGTCTACTCTGTCGAATAGATTTTGACAATCAACCGAACAGCGATGAAGATAAAAAGGGTTGTTCTTCTATTAAAATTATCGATTTACAAACTGAACAGAATATTCTAAAAAAAGAATATATGATTTCTTTGACAAACTTTAATTTTTACAAATGCAAGCAAGCATTTGAGCAGTATCATTTTAACAAGCAGTTTGGCAATTTGTTGATTACAATTAACGGAGACGCTTTGGTACTTGGTCCATTTAGTCGTTGTTCACTTCATACTACATCCTCTATATTCGATTGTCAAATTACTTGTTCTTGCAGTAAACGTGTTTGTCAACTTAGAAGATTAAAAGCTAAGAAAGATGTTAATAACGTTTGCAATTATGAGATTCTTTAAATAAGTAAGTGTTTAATGTGAATTAGCAAAACAACAACTGAATGATAATAATATAGGTGGATATATTACTGTATGACAAACTATTTATAATATTATTTAGAAATATAGTTTCGTCGTCTTCCGAAAATCATTCTGATCCGTGTATAAGATCAAGTTGTTTAAATATATCTATAAAGTTTGAATCTCTCAACGAATTTAGCACTTCCGCTAAATCTTTATGAACGGTTTCTATAAAATGGAATGCACTATCGCCAAATTCAGCTACAATATATCTAGCTATAGTTTTATCAATATCAGTCTCTCCAGGACATTTTCCATACTTGCACAATCTTCTCCAATATCCTAGTTCTAATTGAAGAGAATATATTAGTTTGTCAAAAACTGAAATTCAATTATCTATTACTTTTTAAATAGTCAACAATGGTTGAAATGGAAGTTTTATCAACTTGTATATATTTAAGGCCATATCCGTCTAACAAATCAAAATATTTAAGGAAATCTGAACCGTATTTTTCAACCAAAGACTGAAGGAAATCCTCCAAAGGCTGGTCAAAATTTTTCATATTACTATCAATACCTAAGTAATTATTGTTGACGATAAAATCAATAAATTCTTTTACAATGCTGATTGATTGTTTGTAAAATTTTTCATCTTTAATTATCCTTAATATTTTGTCTTCAAAATCGATTAGTTTGTCATAGGAAATATGATGAAATAATTCTCTAATTATGTCATTGGCATCATCCAAATTTTCAGTTTCAGTTATAAAACATACGGCAAATGAAAATAATCTTATTTTACCTTTAAAAAGTCTTTTTACTTCCGGATAAATTGATCTTAGATAAAGATAAACGATATCCAAGAAACTACTCACTTTTTTATAAAGAACAGTATCATTTCGCCTACAATTATCAATTATAAAATATTGTTCATTTCTCATAATCGTTTCAATTATTTCTTTAATATCGCTATACTTTTCATTTTTAGATAATCTATATAAAGTCGAATAGGCCAAATTTAGATTACGACTTATCGTCAGAGCTTTTTGAGGATTATTTCTTATATTTAAATTAGTACAATTATCCAATTTCCTTATTAATTGTATCCTGTTATCAGAGTTGATAATATTGAATATACAGTTTTTAAATCTTTCCCTTTCAATCGTAAAATCAAATAGAAGATAACTATTTAGAGCATCGACTATTTCATCTTTACTTCGTTGTTGTTTGTCATCGTTATCCAGCCATTCGTAAACTATTTTAACAAAATGTTCTGTCTCATTTCTTATCTTATCAACTCCTTATTGAGAATATTTGAATTAATTATAACAAATTTTAACTACAATTATCTTAATACAACTTACTACTTAAACTTTGTGTTCTATGCCAAATTGAACATAAGAAGGCTAAAAATAGAATATGACAAACTTTCCTTTTCATAGCAAACAACCAAATGTTGTTATTTCATCTTTCTTATTTTTTTTTATATATTTATCTTCTATTATTAATTGTATTAACTTGATTGTTTGATTGATAAATAGCGTAAATATCTCTTTATATTTCATATTTTCTCTCGATTAGGGAAACTATTATGATTTTATAATAATTTTCTAGTTTATTATTCAAAATTACCGAAATTCTATTTCGTTGATTTTCACTTTTTGTTCTTTTTTGAAAACTGGTATTCTTTTCTTTTTCTTCCATTAAGAATTAAAAGGAAAAAACCCGACAAATTAACGTTTTTTTTATATTTATATATTAATTATCTTACGTTTTATTAATGTTTAAATAAGTAGATAAGTACTTACTTTTTCTTTTTACCTATAAAAGCTTTTTGATCCATTTTTCGTTTATACTTTCCAATTCGATAATAATTCTTTTATAGACCTGTTTACTATACTTTTTTTGTATTATTAAAGTAAATTTGATCATTTAGATTATTATAAAATACAATGTCTATACTAACTTGTACATTGAAGAGTAAATAAAAGTGATACTGTATATAGTGAGGAACGCCAATCGTCTGCTCTCTCCTTCGAATATAAGAAATAAAAAAAGAACAGCAAACTGAAAGGGATGGGAAAAAACTGCAAATATTCTTCCTATATATTATAATATTGCTTTTAATCTTTTGAAAAGGAAAATATTACTGCAAGTAAAATATGATACATTTTTTATAGAACGTTTAGAACGTTTCGTCATTCATAGCTGTTTCTAAATTATATGGTTACGTATAAGAATTATTCTAACTATTATTTCAAAGAATTTTATTGTAAAGTGTTAAATCAGCTCAAATTTTTAATACTTTTATTATTGACTTTTATGATCAGTTTATTATCCTACGCGATTTCCAGGTAATCAACGAAAATCGTAAATCCCGAAATCATAATAAAACTATATATTCATCACTTTTATCTGTTCTCCTTAAACAATTAAGTAATTTAACAATAAAGTTAATAAGGAAAATGAGTGGGTGTATTAACATTTACTATACTATAGTTTATATAAATATATATATATATATATGTATTTTCAGTTTCAAAACAGAGGAAACAAAGCTAGGTCAAATAAATAAAAGAAGTTTCCACATGGCAAAAGTTTATCAAATATTATTCTTTGCAAGTTGTGTCGTTGCGTACGAAACAGCAATTCTGAGTAGTAAATGATCTCTTTTCTTTTTGATAATTAATCATTTATCATTCTTATTTGTTTTCTTTCTTTCTAAGGACAAGATACCGTAAAAGCTAACACGAAAGAATTTATTACGACATTCTACGAATGGCTAGACAATGAACAACTTCAACAATCTAAAAATGAAATTATAGAAATGTTAAATTCTGTTTTTCTCTTCGACTTTACAATTGAAAGGGAAAAGTTTGCAAATTCTGTCTACAATCTTTTAAACTCAACGAATACAGTGCAATTGATAAAGAAATTAGGCGACTATACGAATTTAAACGTTAAAAAAGACGCTGGAGAAGCATTTAAAATACAGTATTTCAATTCTTACAAAAATTAAGCTACTCTGGATTGTCGGAATATAAAAACTATCAAGAAATGATTAATACGGTCAACTACGATTCTGTAACGAATCTCTTAATTGATCTTGATTCTTGTGATCCTAAGTACGAAAATTTACAAACAAACGTAGTGTTAATGCCTATTTTATATTTTAACGATGTGAAAGCGCTATATCCTCAGATAGGGAGACGTTTTTCATACGATATAGGTCGTAAATTTAGTTTTTTTATTTGTTATATTGGCGAATTTAAGGAGCGTGGCGAAGCGGAAGAAATTTTTAAAAATGCACTATCATTGTCTGAAAATGACCTACAAACATTTAAAAGAAAGATAGTAGAAACGAGGAAAGATGATAAATTCTACGAAAATTCAATTGGTGTAATATATGATTTCTTTGAATTTCTCTCTGAAGTTCCCTATCTTGGATGCGATGAAGACATGAAAGATCATACATTAGCACTATCCGAATATTTTGTAACAATGATTAAAAAATATGGTGAAGATTTCCTCAAATATTTCGATATATTCGATGGTTACGACCTAAATAAGATTCGAATAAATCAGGAGAATTTGTCTGATGCAGTAGACTATTTAGCGAGTTTGTATTATTTTCTTTCTCTTATACCAAATCAGATGATAATAAATTTCTCTTCTAGAAATAAATCGTTGGGAAAATTTATGTAAACATGGAAGATGCCCTGGAAAAACTAATTTTGATGCTACTCTATCAAAGTTTTTTATTGATAAGGTTGAACTTGTTCAATTTAAAAATATCAAGAAATTCTTTGTCGCACTTACGGATATTTTGAAAGCTTTTAGAAAAACAGATTTATTCAATCTCTTAAGGATTTCGAAGAACGAAAAACATTTCGATTTAAGGGAAATTCTGTACGACGATGATATAAATGAAGCATCACTTTAATGAATTAAATTATGTTAAGGATAAAGAATAAATTATACAATGTTAAATATGACTAATATAGTATTTTATTTCTTCTTTATTCACGTTCAATTTCGTCAGAAATTTACCAGATCCACACTAATATTATCATATGACCAGAGGACGATTAATAAGACGGAATATATAGTATATGTATATTGTTACAAGGTCAGAACGAACATTTTACAAACTATCTATTTGTAGGCCTAGTTAAAAGCGGAAAAATTTCTTTCAATTAATAAGATAATTGAAGAAAAAAAGATACAAATAATTTGGAAATGAGGTTAAAAGTTAATTATAGAAAAGAAAATATGTAATAATAATCACTTATTATTTACACAAATAAATCGTAGTATCTTCTTCCTCTTCTTTTCTTTCTATCTAAAATTTCTTCATTTGACAAACAAAAAGGTTACAGTTTAAAAAAAGAGTAAAAGTTAAATAGTATTTTTTGTTTGTTAAATTTCTATTAAAACAGTTAAAGGACAATTTCATAATAAATTCTTAGGGTTCAACTTTAGTTGGAAAAAAGTAAAAGTGAATCTGCAAAATTCTCAATGTCCTAAAAGTTCAACTGTATTAAAAAGACTCCGCCGCTTTGTAGGGGGAGAGACTGTTGTTTGTTTGTTTTTTTATTTTGTATAAAATCAAGATAGAACGACGAAAGATAATATTTTTTTCTATTAAGATCAATTATTCTCAAGCTTTTTCTTTCTCTTTTTTTTTTTGGTATTTTTGAAAGAAATATGAATTGTTTGGCAATTGCAAAACGAAAATGGAATTGTAAAAGTTTTCGCGGACCTTTTGTATGTCTACTAAGTGTTATCGTCTACTCAATGACTACGGCAAACTTTTTCACTTTTGGAGAATATATTCCAGCTTTAAAAGGTTCAATTACTAATCAGGAAACTTATTTAGGTAACAGATGACAACTTTTTCTTATAAGAAAAGAACATTTGACGTTAAATTATTCTTTAACCTTTTATCTTTTTAGGTTTAATAAGTTCGACCGCCATAGCTTTGGTTTGTCTTGTAACTCCTATAGCGACATTTCTCTCAAATCGAATTGGTTCTAGAAAATGCCTATTGTTAGGTACAATTATCTCATCGACTTTCTTAGGTTTAAGTGGTCTTTATGAAAACTTTTGGTCCGTTTATATATGTTTTGGTATAATTTTCGGAACGGTTGCTTGTTTGATGATTAATCCATTATATTTTGTTGTTAACCTCTATTATCCGTTCAATCATCCAAGACACGTCTTAGCCAATAGCTTACTAACTTGCGGCTACCCTTTAGGAACGTTTATCCTTAATCCTATATTGGAGGCGCTAATCAGCCATTTTGGTTGGCAAAAAACGTTTGGTATACAAGGCCTAATCCTATTTCTAATATGTTTTCCATCGGCAATGGCTATTGTTGAACCGCACCAGTTGAACGATGATGAATATACGCTTATTAGCGAAGAGATAACAGTACCCCTTATCTCTGAGATAGGAAAGAAGAAAGAGCTGAAAAAGGTTACTAGAATCGTTGTTGGAACTTGTTGGTTTATGGCAACAGCATTGAGAAGTATAGGTTATACAGCTCCAATTGTGCTTCTGGTTTGTTCGTAGACATTTTGTATTTTCAAATAAAATCTCCCTCTTCTTCTCGTTCATAGGTTCACTATATGACAAACTTGGGAATAAGCTCTCAAAATGCCAGTATTGGAATGTCGGTGTTTGGATTTTTTGAATTTTTTGGAAGGCTTCTTGTATCAATCTTTGGAGATTATATAAAAGGAAATTTAATATTATCCTACATAATTGCCAGTCTTCTATTATCCTTGACAAACTTTTTCGCTCTATATACTTATAATTTCACAACAGTTATTATCTATATAATCGGTAAGTTATTTCAAATTAATTTCTCTTCTTTCTAACCTCTCTCCCTCTTTCTTTCTTTCTTTCTTTCATTCATTCATTCTCTCTTTTTCATTATCCTCTAAAGCGCAAGGTTTATTCGATGGTCCAATTATGGCTGCTCAAATGTCTACTTGTATTGAACTGCACGACGGAAGACATTTAGAAGAAACTTTTTCTCTATTCAGAATGAGCATAGGCGTAGGTTCGTTAATAGGACCAACGTTGGCTGGCTACTTTTACGATTTGACAAACAGTTTTGATTCATTATTCTATTTAACTAGCTCAACTTACTTTGCTTGCACATTATTTTATGCAGTTTGTCTTTTATTAAGAAAATTTAAGAAGGATTGGTGGTAAACCAACATTTTTTATCTTCTTAATTACAGATAATAAATAAGAATTACACTATTATGATAAATTTCTCTTTATTGTTTGCCCGATTCGCTCTTTATAAGTTTATAGGAGTAAATGTCGGACATAAGAATTGTTTCAGCTTTCCTATTTATGACCTATTTATTATTTCTGAAACAATTCCTTGAGTCCATCAGAACCAGCGCATCTTAAGTTGATTTTATCAAGCTTTTTTCCAATTGGCAGTTTCTTATTCGGGAATAGGAGAAGAAGGAATAGAGTTGATATCATTGTATTGTAAACTTTGATTAGGCAATAGAGATTCGATTGTTGTTTCCTCCTTCCCTTCCCTTGTCTATCATTGGTTAATCTGTTAATTCTACGTCTGCTTTATTCAACTATTCGCTCCGATTAGACAATCTTTTCGCTGTCTTAAAAGTCATAATAATGATAATAATTTATCATTAAGTCAAAAAATTCAATTCAATGTATAGATATGATATTTATAAAGTCATTCTTCCAGGGCCTAATTCTCTAATCAAAAGTTACATTTAATATTGATTTATATTATATTCTTATAATAAATTAATATTCTTCAACTTTTGTTGCTGATTTTAATTTTCAAATTTTCAATAAGACTAATGAAAAATGTATTACTCTCTCTCTCTCTCTCTTGATTATTCATTTATATTTAGTTTAGTTTTTTAAAAATATTCAATAAACTAGAAATAAAAAGAATATACATAATACTTTGACTTATATAAATAATAAGATATATATTAAATAATACATGGTAAGCAAAAATAGTATACAGTATGTCTCTCATAAGTCAACATCTACTAAGATAATCATTTAGAATTTTACAGTATATTTGAAATAATGATTAACTATAACCTTATTTACTTCTTGATAATATCAGGTAAAACATTTTCTTGTTTTTATCTATACAATGAAACATTAAAAAACGAAATATTCATCATTAGGAAACGTTATTTATGGAATTGAAATTAACCTTGCCAGAAATCAACCATCTTATCAAAGTACAACTGCATTTCATGCTGAATTCGCTAATAATTTAAATATTCAAATTGAACCGGTAAAATCTATTTTTATTCATTAACTAATTCTTTTAAATAATCGAAAATTTTCCATTAAAAGGAGAGCTACTGTTCGAAAACAAAACAATTTACAAAGCAATCTTGGTGAATAGTCGATCTTGGTAATATATATAACGTTAATAAAGTTTGTATTCTAAATGGAAATCTACCAACTGGTTTGTTATTGATACTTATATCTATACTATATACAGTAAATTAAGTAATGAAATAAATAATATTTAGCAAATGAACTAAGGAATTTAATAATAAATGTAACAAATTTTCCATTGGATATTCGAGTTAAATGTACAGAAGTGAATAAAATTATAAAAACACCAACATCAACGTTATTTACCGAATACGAATGTTTCAATTGTGAATCAAACGTTCAAGGTTCTTTTGTATTTATTCAACAAAAAGAGCAAGGTCTTACATTAAGTATGTGCGATGTTCAAGTATTTGGAACAAAGGCGAATAATAGAGGTTAAAGTATTAAAATTATCTATTATACATTTAATTATTAAATTATTCTTATTTAGAATATCAAAAGCTAAAAGTTGATTACAATAATTTATATGCATCAAGATATTATGATATAGATAACGTTTATAAATACGCTGTAGATGGAGTATTTCAAAAATAAGCGATAATACACTTTGTAAAGAAACAAGAATAATTTTTACAGATTTAATTACTATAGATACAGTAGATGAACATGAGATTTATGAATTTGACCTATTTACAAAGACGCTCATATCTTATGATTGTATATAATTAAGATTCTTTTAATTGTTTAATTTTAGTTAATTAATTTAAATTGATTATTGTTTTCTTTTTTTAGTTTCTGAGAAATGTACCAATTTTCTAAGCGGAATAAATATATTCTCAAGAGAAGAATGGAATAGAACTACTCCGTATTTAATTGAGATAGGGGGTAATCACGTGGATAGAGACGCTATTCTAACATCTACAATTAATATAGACTTGGAGAACATATGTAAATATTTACAACCGCCATCAACCAAACATAAAAGATACTTCATATGTCAAGGCATAAACGATCAAATAAAGATATATCCAGATGTTTATCTAGTTGAAATATCTGAAATATCTCTATTTTACTACGGTAAAAACAAACAATTTCTTTTTGTCAAATTAATATCATAATTCTAATGTTCATTTTACACTTGTAAATAGATATTTAACAGGAAGACTGCGCTATTAACAAGTTATATGAAAATATTTGGTTACTTACTTCAATTGTACCCTCATATTTTCCCTCTTTATCGCTCACTTGGGACTTTAATCCTAATTAATAAATTCATTTAGACAATGATTTAAACATTGTAAATTAGTTTTATTATTAAATGTGTTCATAAAGAATATTAATATTTGTAAAATTTAAAAACAATAATAATTCCGATTATAAGTTCTCTAACGTTACGTACCATATTCAACTTCCGGAAGAATGCTATTACCAGTTTTCAAGCCATGAGAAAGAGAGGGGGAACTGTTTGCCAAGCAAAAAATTGCAATAATAATACTCAAAGCAATAAAAATGTAAAGTTTCACAAATTTCCAAATACTCCAGAAAGGTATTTATTACTTTCTCCCATGAATAGCTTAGTTTGCTTAACGTGAACTGCAAAATAAAGTTATAAAAAATTGTGTGTGTGCCATTTTTTTTTTTGTATTCTGATTCGTTCTCAACCGTTAAACTGACATCTTTAAAACTATTTACTTTAATTAGAGCTTCAATATGGGTATCAAATTTGGGTAATGAAAGACTTACGAAAGCCTATGAGAAAAGCGCAAAATGTTTGAAATATCGCAAAGTTTGCTCCGAACATTTTAGCGCAAAAAGTTATTGGGGACCAGATCGAGTTAGTTTGAAACCCAACGCTAATCCAACAATGATAAATGTATCATCCTGCTCCCAAAAATCCCATCCGGATAGGGAACCTTTAGCGCAGAAACGAAAGAAGGTCAGTATATTCTATTATTATTTCTTGTCTCACTTCGCATATTATCACTCAAATAGACAAAGAAAAAATCCAAGATCTCAAGTCCTAAGAAAATTCAAAATGAGCAATCAATTCAACGGATGAGAAGAATGACGATAACTTTTAAAACTTCACAGAATTTAAAGTTTTGGTTTTCAAGATCATCGCGCTCCTATAAGGACAACGATCCGTTATCATAACATTATCATAGCAAATATCTTTCATATATTTAATTGTTGTCTAATCCTATAAAACAGTATACATAATAAATGTTGTCCGAACTGACTTAACCGATCGGTATTCAAATGATATCTAGATTATTAATGATAATAAATTCAAGTGCAGGAACAAACAAAGGACAATCAATTCCTAGATAAAAGAGATGTATGAATAATTTCTTTACATCATCTGCATAAAAAAGTTCATTGTTTTAGAAACAGGAAAAAAAAAATTTACACTTTAGGAATAAACTGTTACTGTTTATAATAATTCTATTATTTATCATTTTTTTTTCAATAGATACTGGATTGCTGCACAAAAAGTAAATAGATAGAGCTTAAATATGTTATAAATATTAGAGAGTTTCAATTATTAAATGATGTAAACTTTTACAAAAAATATAAAAGGGCTTTACTATATAACTTACTTATACATCGCTTAGTTTTAGACTATAAAAGTAATTAATATTAAAATATATAGAGTCGTTTCATACAGTTTTAACAATCTTTTTATTTACCAATAAATTATTAATGTCACTCTACCATTGGGTAACTATATAACCCATTCTTGTTGTTGTATACAGTTGTTTGGAGTTTTTTTTAGAAGAAAGAGAGAAATTTGCGAATATTATTGATAAATCATGAAGATTTTCACCTTCTTTACCATCTTTAACTTTGTAATTATCTACTTAAAAAGTAAGTTGAAAAAAACAGATATTAGATATTTAATTTTCGTTCGTTTTTCTATTTTCTTTTTTTAGGTGTTGAAATACTTATTGAAAAAACTCATTATCCAACTTTTAAATCAATAAATATAAGTGTATATTTCGATTATTTCAACAATACAGAATATAGAATATACTTTGGAGATGGTAACTTTACAACGTTTAACAGTTTCATGTCATCTGTTGAAGAAAAACCAATTATTTTTAATTATTCTTATTCAATTCCTCAACTCTATACAATTATTGTAAATGTAACAAATTCATCACTCAGTGACAGTGATAAAATAGATATTATAGTTCAACATGAAATCAATCAACTTCAAGCAACTCATATAATCATTCCACCGAGAACAGTACGTATGCATATTTTCTCTGCAGAAACTTTACATGAACCAACAAATGTGACGTGTATGATAACAAGTTTAACAAGTGAAAATAATACGAATATTACTAAAAATGACGTCAACTTGACACAAGGTTTTACAGCTTTGCTCCTCTATGATAGCAGCTTTAACGAGCGTTATAAAAGGAATGTTGTGATATTTATAAAATGCAATAATCAAGTATCATCCAGTAATCGATCCTATGTTGCTACATTAGAAGAAGCGATTAAAGATGTTTCAATATTATTACCGAAAACTTTGCTATGGACAAATTTACCTTTTGATATCATTGCAACTGCAATATACGGTACGAATATTACACTGGAAATAACAATTGGAAACAATTATATAGTATTTAATAGAGAATTCCATGGACCAGGAATATTCGACAATATGACTACAACAGTTAGTGATCCTGGTATATATAGTTTAAGGGCAAATTTTTCAAATAGCGTTAATTATACAATTACTTATGGTCCAAATTTAATAGTTCAAAGTCCAATAACTATTGCAAACATTTCATTATTCTATTTAAAACCAAGAAGTTTTCAAATTAATATCCGACAAATTGGTTCTTCTATAGTTCCAACAAATGTTTCTTGTAGAGCAAAATTTGGCAATGAAAGTACGGAATTATTCTCTAACGTTAATTTAATTAAAGGATTTGAATTAAATTTCACAATGAATAGAATATATAACGAAAAACAATATAAGAATATTACCATTCTAGGGGAGTGTTCAAATCTGATTACCATTTTAGATTTTCAATGGAATGTCACTTTAATTGAAGAGATAACTGGCTTAAATGTGTCTTTTCGAAATTTATTCAACTATACAATTAGTGTTAATAGATCATTCGAATTATCTGTTGAAGTGTTAACTGGTGATGATGTTCAACTCTTTATATTCGATGGAGATAATTCTAGAATTGAGGTAATACTTGATAAACTTGAAAGGTTTAACCATAGTTACCCAAATCCAGGAATTTTCACCCCTACTATAACTGTAAATAATACAGTTAATGAATTATCACATTTATTAAAACCTATTACTGTTCAAGTACCAATTTATGACCTAAAACTTACTGGTCCTAATAATATTAGTATTGGAGAGTATTATACAAATTTTACAATTATGGTCAATACTAAAAGCGATCCTCCAACTGATGTTTTTTGTTCTTTAATATTTCTGGAGAATTCAACAGAATTTGTTCATCAACCTGATTTATCTAAAATTAAGAAATCATCTCAAAAAACCATTCAGTTCAATACTATAAATTATGTTGGTTTTAATAGAACACTGAATCTTACATGTAAGAATTTAGTAAGCACACAAAACTTTTTATATTATATCAATATTTATGAGAAAATTGAAAATTTTATGTTTACAATGGAAAAAGCCATAATGAAACCTTTTGAAAAACAATTGTTTTTATTAAATATAACATCCGGTTCTTTTGTAAAATTTCAATTAATTATTGGTTACAATCTATCAGTATTTGAATTATCTTATCCAAACATATCTACTTTCCAAAGATCAGTTAATTTTACATATTACTTTAAAGATATTGGCAACTATACTGTAAAAGCAATAGTTGAAAATGGCTTTAATCGACAAACTATAGAAAAAGTTATAATTGTACAAAATGTTATTGAAAACGTTACATTCACAAGTAATAAAACAGTCTTTTGGACGCCTGGAATTATTATTTATGAACTATCATCGTTATCACATCAGAGCAATCTAACAAATATCTATTGTACAATCTCTTTCAATAATGTTATTAAAAGAGATGAATATATTCCATTACTGGAACCTTCTCAAACAATAGTATTTAGTCAATCGTTTTCAATAAAAGACATTGGAACTATAAATACTACGATTTTATGTCGCAATCTAATATCGGAGAAATATTTATCTACTACAACAAAACTTTTATTGGATGAGGTTATAATAAGTTATCTCTTATCTAATGATACTGCAACTATTAATAACTATATTGTAATTGAGGCTAGAATAAAGAGGATGGCTAAGGATTCTTGCTTTGTATTCGATTTAAATACAGATAATCCAAAAACGAAGTTTGCCTATGGAATAAGCAAGGTTTGCCGAGACTATGCTCTTGTAAATGCAATAGATTACAAACAGATCGATAATCAACAAGATACTATTACTTTTAATTATCAATTTATTAAAATTGGTACATTTAACATTTCCCTTAAAGGATTTAATAGCGTAAGCGAAGATTATAAATGGACTGTGGTTAATATTATTGATCTTTCTTGCTCTATATCAAATGTGACTTTTCCAAATGAATATTTAATTGAAAATTCACCAAAAGTAGTGTTAAAAAGTCATAATATTCTTATTACACCACTAATTCGTATAGACTGTCAGAGAACTAAACATACAACAGTTGAATGGAAACTTTTCAATATGGATACGAATAATTTATTATATACGACTAGCAATAGCTCGGTTTTTATTGAAAAAAGAACATTGAATATCGGACAATATAAAATTCAGTATTTTATTCATATGACAAACTTTTCTCAGTTTAATCATACATACTCGTTATATTTTAATATTGAAGTAAGCCCACTTTACCTTGACCTTGGAGGTAAAAAAGATGCCGTTCTAACTTTCGGCGAAAAATTAAACTATGATTCGGGTCTTTTAAGTTACGATCCCGATAATTATCCAGATGAAAAATTGAAAGGAATATTATTTAAATATTTCTGTAAGCAAAAGGGTGAAAATTATTTATTCGATGAGAAGTTTTTGGGATACGATCCAAAGAATGTTCCAGATATTAAAAAATTTAAACAAAATGGCGGATGTTTTGGTCATGGACCCGGTTTTGTTGGTTCTAATACAGATGGAAAATTTACTATCGATAGTTTACACATGCTTCCTAATAGACAGTATTTTTTTCAAGTTAGAATGGTATCTAACGTCGGTAATCGAGAGAAATCTTTAAACTTTACTATAACAATACCAATATTATTGGCTCCGAGAATAGAAATTCGGTAGGTTTACATAAATAATTATTAATTCTTACGCTTTTGTAAAAATTTTTATACAATTCCTTAGATGTATATCAAATTGTCAACGAACAAAAACTGTGTCAAAAGCCATAAAGATGCAGGTACAATGCTTCTCGAACTGTTTCGTTTTAAAACGTCCCATGACCTACAAGTGGACATTGTATCAGCTTAATAACGGTCAATTGATTGAACAACGGACCAAAGCGATTATCAATCAGCATTTAAATACGAACGAAATAATTAACTTTTTACCAAACGAAATTCAAAATGGTTTTCAATATAATCTTAAAGTTGAAGGAGCTTTCGATGATGTGAGCGAAAATACTTCATATTCGGTTATCTTTCTTATTAATAGACCACCCTATGGAGGTAGCTGTGGTATTAATCCTCTTTCTGGAAAGGCAACAATCGATTTATTCGATATCTCTTGTCATAATTGGAAAGAGTTTGAAACTTTGCAAGGAAGTCGTGGACTATTGTACGAATTTAAAGCACGTCCTAAAGGCGCAGATGTTGATCAAAATTTTCTTCTTCATTCCTCTTACGAACCAAATATCACCAATATCATGTTACCTCTTGGTGACGATGACAATCATTTGACTGAAGTAATAATAACGATAATCGACTCGTACAGCGATATTAGCCGTATTACTTATCAGATAGAGGTTCTACCGCCGTCAGAAGATGATAATGATAAAGTTTTGGAAACATCTTTGAATGTTGTGGAAGGTGATAAATTGAAAAAGGAATTTGAATCCGCTGATTATACTAGTGTTTCCGCAACCCTTTATTCAGTTACATCCGTCTTAAATGAGAATACAATTGAAAAATCTGAACGCCCTTTAAATGCAGATGAAAGAGAAAAGGAAAAGGAGAGGTTTTGCGATGAAAGAGCAAAGAAGATGAAGGTAATAAATAACAAACTGTTTACGCCATCTTATTCGTTTGTTTTTCAAACAGATTCGTCGAGGAATGGTCGATTATGCCGTAAAAATTCCATTAAAATCAACCAAAGAAATTGAACAGAATAATGAAATAATAAACAAACTCGTTAACAATCCTATCGAAGTTGATATACCCTCTCAAGTATTCTTTTGTTTTGTAATCATAAACTAAATAAATAATAATGAATAAAAATATTAATAGGAAGATCTAGCAGAGAGAATTGCTAATATTAATGAGGCTGTTAATAAAGAAGACTTGTCTAAATCGGAGAGAGATAAAATTTCAATTGGTTTGTATGAGTGTTTTTTTCACCTTATTAGTAAAGAAAAGGCTAATATTTTTTGATTTATTCCCTTCTCTCTCTCTCTCTTTTATTTTAGATCTTATAAGAACAACTGCTAAAATGACAATAGCAGCAAATAACTATAGGGAAGATGTACAAGCAGCTCAAAATATAGAAGGTAACTCAAACGGAGAAGATTATCATTGTGATAACATTATCGATTTAAAAAATAATAATCCAATCGATGACGAAGGAACTAATACTAAATTAAAAAATGTTATGGGTAATGTCGTAAACGTTGTTGAAAGTGTTACAGACAAACTACTAGAAAGTTCCGTAATCAATAAACCAATTAATATAGAGTTAGATACTATGGATATTCATATGGAAAAGACAAATCCGAATCTTATTAAGAATACTTCTTACGATTCGCAATATGGTTCTTTTGAATTGCATTCAGTGAAAACTGAAAGCATCAGTTGCATAGGAAGAAAGTTAATTCTATCAAATATTAATCCTTATATGTGGCACAATTCTTCGGAAAAAGTTACATCTACAGTGGCAACTTTTCAATTGAATCCCTGTGATAATTTAAAAAGAAAAAAACGTAATACAATCGCAAAGATTGCTGCTGAATTTTCATTGTCATTAAACGTCGACCCTAACGACGGTATACAATATATTAATACGACAAAAACATTTTCTATACATACTATAAACGTAACGAGAAACAAATTATTATTGTTATTCGATTTTAAAGAAAATGTAACACTCTCTGTTTTAATTGGTTACAATTATAAGCCAAGTAATAATAATAATAATAGATCGTTTCTATTGCCGAATACTGAGAAAATTTGTTTTAAAAGTTTGAAATTCAACAAGAGAGAGTGTGAAGAATACAAAAGAACTATTCTATTAAATTCAACAGTAAATCAAACGTTAATAATTGTTGTCTCATTGGCATCTTCAACATCTACAACTCATTGTTCAAATTGCACATACAACCTATTAAAGTATGGATTTAAGGCGTCCTATCCATCTGTTAAAAAATGGAATGGTAAAGTATGGAATTCTTGTGATAATGACGATTGTAAATTTCAAGAGGAAAGTTTATCGTCAAAAGTTAAATTTAAAAGTAATCTTTTAGGTAGTTTGGGAACGGGTTTGGACTTGGCTCCGAATACTATTGATTTTGAGGAAGTTTTTACCGATTTGGGTAAAAAATTGGCTGATAATGCAGCAGTCTTTGGAACTATTTGCGCTTTAATTATTATATTTTTTCCATTGGCCATTATGATTAGAAGATTAGATTTAAGAGATGAGATTTTATGGCAGGCTTCCCCCTTAGTTGACAATCATGAAGAAGACAAGTTCGAATACGAAGTTCACGTTTTTACCGGAAATAAACGGAAAGCCGCTACTACATCGCATGTCTATATGATTGTTTATGGTACTGATGCTGATACGGGACGAAGAAGACTTGCCTCACAAACGGTAACGTCATTTAAGGAGGGTTCCATGAACGCTTTTAAGTTGACAACTCCGTTTTCTCTTGGGTCAATTGTTTGTTTGAAATTATATCTTAGGCAAGTTCCCACTAAAGATGATACATACGAACCATTTGATCCATGGTTTGTTTCGAGAATTGTTATCATAGATAAGGCGTCTAACGTGTGGTATAACTTTGATTGTGATAAATGGTTATCGGATGTTCACTATGGTTCACGAACTGATTTAGTTGTTCTAGCATCTAGAAATGTAAATCAACCGGCAATCGATCAACTATTCAAAAGAAATCTTAAACAGAGAATTACCGACGATCACCTTTGGATTTCAATTGGTGCCAGGCGTACAAAATCAAGATTTACAAGATTGCAAAGGTTTACCGTCTGTTACGTGGCATTATTTCTCTCGATGATTGCGAGTTGTATGTTTTATAAGGAGGACGGTTCGCTAAGGAAGCAAACGAATTCCGTGACAATATCATTAAATGAATTCTACGTTGGATTGGCAAGTAGTATAATTGTTTTTCCCGGATTAGTCGTTGTCTCATTATTATTCAAATGTAAAAGGAAGAGAAGATTATCATTAATTCTAGCGTGGATATTATCAGTTGTTGCGATGTTGACAGCTGGTTTTTTTACTTTTCTATATTCAATTCAATGGGGCAGAGAGAAATCGTTGAGATGGTTATGCTCATTTTTTATTTCATTTTTACAAAGTATCTTGTTCGTACAACCGGTTAAAGTCATTTTTCTGGTTTTTCTGCTAACCTATCTTTTTGAGAAAGACGCCTATCTTACCCAATACGAGGATCATATTGGAGAAATGAATAAATTAGACGTTGAACATCTTTCTCATATTCCTAAAGGTAATTTTTTGTTGTTGTTTCTTTTTTTTCAACAATTTAAAAATAAATAAATTCCAGAATTAAATATTCGGGAAAAATTGAAAAAATCCCAAGAAGATATAAAAAAAATGAAATATGAAAAGATGATAAAAGATCGAATGAATAATATGATAAAGGATATTGTTCTACATTCAATATTTCTTATACTAGTAACATATGTCTGCTTTACTAATCAAAGTTCTGAATTCTTCTATCAGAATAGGGCTATTAAAAATACTCTTGTCAATTTTACGAATGTAACGGATCATTCAAAATTATGGAAATGGTTAGAGAAGATTGCTGTACCATCTTTATATCCACTTGAATATTATAATAAAAATAATAGGACTAATTACGATATTCGATATACTACAGAACTTAATCATATGAGATTCTCATCGGTAAGACTCTTTCAGCAACGTGTGCAGAGTGAAGATTGTAAGATTTATGATTATTTAGAAGTTCTCTTTGAGTATCATCGTTGTTTTGGAGCCATATCGGATAAAACGTTAAGTACGCAAGACTATTCTCCAAATTGGGACTTTTTTCGTACAGCAAAGTCACACGTAGCTTTTTCATATTCGAAAAGCGAAAAAGGTTATTCAATATCTTTAGGAAGAGACCCAAAAAAAGCGTTGGATCTGGTTAGAACGTTAAAAAGATACGGATGGACCGATCGGCAAACTCGTATATTAACACTAGACTTGACAATCTTGAATCATGATATAATTTCTCAAGCAGTATGGAAATTTAAAATGGATTTGACAGGTGGAATTTTAACATCTTTTCGAAGTGATTCATTAATACTTTATAGATATACCGGAGCTATTGGTGTTGTTACGTTAATCTTGGAAATATTATCTCTATTATCATGGCTATCGATAATTATAAAATTTGTGCTTTCCTACTATAAGGATAAGACATTACCGGGGATATTTTTAATTTTATCGATGGTGTTTTTCACCTGTTCAATAGGCTTCTACACGTATAGAACTCTTATTGGTGTTAAAGCGGTTGAAGATGTTATGAATTCGAAAGAAAGATATGTAGATCTATCGTATTTCTTTAACGCTCATTATTATTTTATTATGTTGATTGGTATTAGCGGATTTTTTGGTGAATTACATCTCTTATCAATGTTAAAAATATCAAGAACAATATCGGTGCTTGTTTGTACACTTAAAAAAGCCGGAAGTGGCCTTTTGTCAATAGCATTTTGTACAACAATAATCTTTATTGGTTACTCTTGTTGGGGTTATGTAGTAATGGGTTCAACGACGGAAAGTTATAAAAGTTTTAAATTTACTTGCTACGCTTTAATCGATACGGTTTTTGGACATTTAGACTTTGTTAAACTATCATTGACTTCGGGAACAATGGGAAAAGTATTTATAATATCTTATGGATGTGTTATGATTTATCTAATATTGAATATATTTATTACTACTTTGAATGGATTTTTGGTGGCTGTTAAAACGGATCCTCGTGTTCTTCCCGTAGATCATGAAGTTTTTCAATTTATAATTAAAAATCTTAAAACAATTATTAAAGAGAATTTAGAAGATAAAGTTGTGAAAAAAACACCAATAGAGGAAAAGGATAATCTATTAAGTCTACTTAGAAAGACTAACAGTTTGGAAGAGAAAATTGTAGCTATGGAAAATTTGAACAATAAGCTTTTTAATAGAATGTTTATTAAAATGCTTACTCCTTTGACAAACAATACTTTAACTGCTAATGAGAAAATATCAATGCCGGATAACGATGCTGAAATATTGGAAAAAGAACTCTTAAGAATTATTAATAGCTAAAGACAAAAAGAGAGGATAATTAACTAACTAATCAATTCATTTATTCATTAAATATCTTTATTTGTTATATTTAAAGATCTTTTAGACTTGAGAAGACAAAGACAAAAGACATGTATCGAAGAGAACAAAAAATCAATTTTTCAAGTATCTTCAAAGATATTCAATTTTTGATTTTTCCTATTTATTCTTCTTCAATCAATCGGTTTTCGACGAAAAATCAAAAAGATTTTTATGCTAGGAATCTAAAATATAGGATAAGATAAGATTAATTAATTAATTAATTAATATTAAAAATACCTGATGATTGATATCTATATTTTTCTATAGTCTCTTTGAAAATGTGTCGTATTTGTCTTCCCAAGTCCATTGGGTAGGCTTTGCATTCTATTGGTTATTTTATACCAGTTGATGTGATACTCCTCTATCTTATCGACGGACCAAGTGTGAGGGTATTTCGTTTTCACATATAGAAATCGGTAAAAAGAGGTTTCAATCTAGGATCTCAACATTTGTTCAAACTCGATAACTTAAAAAAATTCCATTTTGTTATCAACTCAAAAACAAACTCAACTGTTTTTTTTTATCATTTTATCGTCGTCCAAATTTTAGACTAAGTTTTTTTTATTAAAAAACAAAAAAAAAACGAAATAAACAAGACAATTTTCTTGAATTCTCCTCAGCCTATATACAGTTATATGTCGTTATATCTTCTCTTCCAAACTAACGATTTTTCATTGATATAGGGAAAACTGTTTAGGGGATGGAGACGAAAAAAAATTAGGGGGCACCCGGATTTGAACCAGGGACCTCTCGATCTGCAGTCGAATGCTCTGCCACTGAGCTATACCCCCACTTGAATTTATCAACTTCCTCTTCGCAATTCGTTGAACAATCGTAAAAAAATTCATTTAGAAACAACCGCAAAATAATTGCAGTTTTGCAGTTTCAACTACAATAAGACGATTTTTCAGAAGTTGAGATTAAAATCTTGTTTTTTAAGGTTTAGTTACTTAAATACTGTATTTCATTTACTGTATTCTACTCCTACGAAACGGAAAGTTCTTATATATGTTTGCCACTATAAGTGTTTGTCATTCAATCCAAAAAAAATGTATTTTTCTCGGACAAACTACAATTTTTATAATTTGCCAAATACAACATTAAAAGCAGCAAAGAAAATAGCATACGATAACATAGATAGATAGATAAAGATACTAAGTTGTCATCAATAGGGAGATAAGGAGAGTTTAAAAACATACAAGGTAGATGATGAGAAGAGAAACAATTATCAACCAATTGAATCCTTTTATCTCTACTTCTCCATTGCAGTTATCCGAAATAGTAGAGTTACCGCTTAGACCTATATATATGTATAAAAAAAAGAAAGTTTGTCAGTTTGTCATCTCTAAACTATTATCTCTCTTACATAGATCCTTCAAATACGAATATTTTGTAAGTAGATGAGAGCTACGATTATTACACTTGGCCACACCGTCGACAACGCAATCGTACAGCTTACAGTCGCCTTTCTTTGGGTATCTTAATCCTTTACAGTTTTTTAATTGCCGTTGACAATCTGTAATAGAAGAGAGATTAATCATTTTACAAGATAAGATGTTTTTTTTGATAACCTCTTTGACAGAATAGAGAGAAAAGGGAACGATATTCGTGAAGTCTCGTATCTCTTGATTTAAATAGAAGACTACCAACGCAATCCATATGTCTACCTCCCAAGTAACAGATTCTATCCAGGTTAAAAGAGTCGCTAAGCAATTCGGCGTTTATAAGATAGTTGGCGGTTGATTGACAAAAATCAACTCTCATCTTTTCATAACCATTTCGACATTTTTTCAAATTATCAGGATCCACCAACTGCATAGGATAATCCACTTTAACGTCATAAGATCTAGCCTTTTCTATTATCAACTTGAGTAGGAATCCAGTTTGGAAACAGTAAACAGCAACTAAAGAGTAGAAAGATAAGAGTTTATTAAATGATAACGACAGCTTACCTAATAATTTACTTAGTAAACCTTTACACTCAACCATAATTATCTCAGCTCCAACTGGATTATGAACTGGAAAAATTTCATTACCGATTTTATATGATAATCATCATAAAAGATAATCCACATGAGAATAATTATTCCAGTTGAATTGTATAGTTTTAAAAACCTGAGGAAAACAAACAAACACCTACAAAAGAGTTATCTATCGAAACTATTCAGTCAAATTGATACATTCGATTAATTAACAAGAGTCCTTATCAAAGATGGAATTGTTACATTTTCTTCCTCTTTTGTCGTTTAAACGCTTTGGGACGCCTAAAAGTAGACATTCTATATTTTAATGATTCAATTGTTGTCGTATTAACAACATATTCTGACTTTTGAACAAACTTATAGATGGAGCCATCCGTATCCTTTTGAACTGGTGTCCTTTAAAGAAACTATTAACTTATAAATCATTGATTATTGTTTGTCGTTCAAACGTAAATTTCAACTATTATTCAAAATTATTGTTTGTTTAGTTTGTCAATTTAGTTTGGTTTGTTTTGTTTGTTGTTTTTAATATTAATTTCTTTTGTTCTCTTTCCGTGAAAGAGATATCTTGAGATTCGATATTAAATGATTAATCAATTAATCAATAGAAACGAAATATTTCATTTTCAATCATGTTTCCAGGCAGCCGTCGTGTTTACAAAAAAGCGTCACAATACAAAGAACAACTTCCTCTCTCTCTCTCTCTCTCTCTCTACATCCAAGATACCAAATATGAAACTAATATTCTCTCTAATACTACTATCTTCTTCGTTAAACGTCTTTCAAGTCGTTACAGGTAAGATTAGTTTGTCTGTTGTTTGTAATTGATAAAAACAAACATACAAACTATTCAAGGTACAATATCGTGTTACGAATGCACAAGCGCAGTTGATACAGATTGCGGTGAAGATTTTGTAGGTGCATTAATCGGTACTTGTAAAACAAGTGGATCGTGTCTAAAGACAAAAGGTAAGTAAATGTTTGTATAGTTTGTCAATATTATCATTATTCTATTATCTTTAATAGTTGGCTCGTTGATAACAAGAACTTGCATACCTACGTCATTTTCTGACGATTGTACAGAAATTATTGCCTTGTCTACTTGCTACTGTAAAACGGATAAGTGTAACAAGTCAACAATACTAGAACCAATGTTATCGTTATTACTTATAATTAACCTAGTTTTAAAGATTGTTCTATAACTTTATTACTATATATTTCTGTGACAAACTTTTATAAACTTATAGTACATAAAAACAAAAGATTTGCATATAGAGAATGATACACAATACAGATGATCAAATCAAAACCATATTTACAAAATAATTACCATACATTCATAAACAAAAAATGACAAACTATAAAAAAGACAAACTTTCCATTTTCTACTTTCGAATTTCACGATGGGCAGACTAATAGCAATCTTTTTCCTTCTATATCTTTTAAATTCTTCTCGAATCGATGGTTTGTTTTCATTTTTCTCTTCTTATCAATTTATCTTCTTTTTTTCTTTAAAGGATATTTGATATCTTGTTATAATTATACAAGTGTAAATTATGAGAATTACGGAGAAATTGCAGTTGTTAATTATCCTCTTCCTACTTGCGAAACTACTGGAAGTTGCGTAAAACTTGCAGGTAAATATCAAAAGTATTCTATATTATTTCAACATAATAACAAATATCATGATGATTATGATAAAGTTGGAAATTCTCTTTTCACGCGAGGATGCTACTGGAAAAATGATCAGGGATGCACAACGAATGGATTATTTACAAATTGCTACTGCAATACGAATTTGTGTAATTCATCTTTTAAGCTTTATTCAACATCTTATTTATTTATTCTCCTATCAATTGTTATTAATTTAATCTGATCTATATTCTCTTATCTTTCCTTCTTATCTTTTAATCTTTTCATATTTGCCTATTAATGTTTATTAATATCTATTCTTATCTGATATATTATCGAATAAAATCGTCTAGAATTGAATTGAAGGTGAAATACGATGTGACCTATTTTACGTTTATTATTTAGAAATGGTACTTGAATACATTTCCACAATGAATAGAATATAGATGGCGCTTGCAAAAATTTTACATGAATAAATGAACGAAACACCGAGAGGAAATTTATGTATTCAAGCGGGGGTATAGCTCAGTGGCAGAGCATTCGACTGCAGATCGAGAGGTCCCTGGTTCAAATCCGGGTGCCCCCTCTGTATATTTTTTTTTTACTTTTTGTTTTAAGCCTCCTCAATCATCCCAGACACGATCATAAATATTATCTAATCCCCTAGTATTGAGTATTGTTAGCTTGATCTTTCTTCTTCTTCTTTTTTCTTCTCAGATAGTCATGTATCTAACTGTATCGAGAGAGACAGGGGGGAGAAATTTTCTCTTGGTTTCTCTCCTGTTTTTCCTCCTATACTAGGGATATCATTCGTCTGATTATTGCAATATTTTAAATAGGCTTCTCTAGAAAACAAATCGATAAATTCACATCTAAAATGGTACCTTTGTAACATTCCTTCAAAGGAAACGATGGATGGCACTTCGATGACCATTGTACCAATGAGGAAACAAGTTCTCCATCAATCAAGCGGGGGTATAGCTCAGTGGCAGAGCATTCGACTGCAGATCGAGAGGTCCCTGGTTCAAATCCGGGTGCCCCCTTGTTAATTTTTTTTTATCCTCTGAAAAATTAACAACACAAATCTGTTAAATAATACAAAAGGACCACAGTCGTAGTCATAAAAGATGATTTTGTGAAGAGCAGGAGAAAGCGTCTACTGAAGGAAAACTTTTTCAGGATAAGTTACCTGTACCTTTAATCTTAGGAAAATTCTAATCATGTTATGTCAACAGTATGTTAAGGGATGGACGCTTTAAATTGCAAATGTAGTTTGTTAACTGGTCAGTTACGGCTACGGTTATGACGACTCCATTTTCGTATCATTCTCTTATCTTCTGCAATATCGTTCTCTAACATTCCGTTCATTTGTATACATTTTAAAATGGTCTAAGACGGAAAGAACAAACCAAGCATCAATCCATTCGGGTAGTCAGAATGCTTTTCTTTCCAATTTCAGTATCAAAGACGCCACATCTATTCTTGTGACACTGTAGGCTTACATTCACAATTAAAAGTGCGTTTCGAATAATAAAACGGCCTACGGTTAAGAGCTGGACAAAATAATTAATATTAAATAAGGGATAGCGATGAGGTCGCGTTAGGATATTCTTCTCCGGGATATCATTCCCTATCATTCTTTATTTTTTTTCCATATTATCTACGTTGTTTAAGCAATATCTTAGCTTTTCCCCGAATTCCTGTCCATATATAGATAGATGGATTAACAGAAGATTACAAACGATCTTCTTATGATCATCCTACAAGACTGTTGATTTGTTGATTTGTTGATCTGTTGTTCTGTTGATCTATTGATGAAGCCAATCTATCTCTTCTAAGATACTAAAATCTTGATAAGCCCAATCAAAAAGACGTTATTATTATATAGAAAATTGGTCGTTAGATTAGAGATTCGTATGATAAGAATCGTTCTTTTCCTTTCATTTCGCTATTTACAACGCGTTCTATTCATTGACGGTAAATTGTAAACGAGGATAAGGAGTTGTATCATAGATATCCTTATTCGTCCTCGTAAATACAATCATTATTATCCAACAAATGTTTCACCTTTTCCCGTGATCATCGTTGAAAAATGACCCAGAAATCGGATTCATCATTATTATCATTATTATCATGCAATTTTGAATGAACGTTAAACGCCTTCTTTATACTCTTGTAGACGCCTTTTCATCATTCATACCCCTTCACTCTTCCTCCTCTTTACACTGTACATTTCAGTAATTTGTTCGTTTTCCTACTTTTTTCAAAGATAAGGGAGTTGTATGATAGATATCATTCATTTTTCTAAAAACTTGCAATTTGAACGAAATTTTCGTTTCGTATTTCCCACAAATATCACGCAAACGACAGAGTACGAAAAATAAGGGTAGACGCCTCAAAGTAACGCCATAAAACGGTAAAAAATAAGCGTTATGTTTAATCGTTATTTTCTCTTTGACAATAGCTTTTTAAAGGGAAAAAAAGCGAGTATCCATTAGTTTGGGGAAGGTAGAACAATAATTAACTGTGGGAAGAGAGTAGAACGATGGAAGAGAGGAGAAAATGGAAGATTAAGATTAGAGAATTTTTTACGAAGGATAAAAAAATCGAACCTGAAATTTGGACGATGAAAAGTATAAAAAAAGGTATAAAAGTTGTTTTTTAGTTGTTTACGAATTGAATTTTTTAAGTTGTCGAGTTTGACGATTGATGGAGATCCTACAATGGAAACCCCGTCTTATAAATTGAATACGGATAAGGTTTGACCGCCCCCCTTCCCCTGTTCAAAATGTTGAAACTGTACCTAAAAAACGCTGCCAACGTGTCACTAGAACAGTATAAAAGGTGAAAGAAACATTAGTATCGACAGTCTTCTACAGGCTATCTTTGGTTTGAAAAAACCCTTCCGAGGGTTAGAAAGAAGGAATAGTCGAGAATGGTTGGTCAGAAAACGGTAAGTTTGTATGTTTTAAATATAAAATGTTTGTACTAAATAGTTTGAATTTTGCAGTTTTCCGACCAGCCAGTCAGATGTTGATGCACGACAATCTGGAATAGGAATTGTTTCGTAAGTAATTGAATTTATCTTGATGGTGATGATATTGATTGTGTTATTGTTTATAGCGTCAGACTTACTTTGGTAGCGTGATGGCGCCATCACTTTCGGTAGAGAATGATGTTTTTTTTTCTCATCTTATCATTGATTGTCTAAGATGATTGGAAGCGATAAAGATACAGATCCTATGGAAACCATATCTAGAAACGATTGAGCTACTACTAATTACTAAATCAAGAGACAACGTTATCTATGTTGATGAAGCGCGATTTAGACGCTTGAAGCGTCTATTGTGTGTGTGTGTTTTTAAATGTCCCCGTT